TTTTGCTTACCGCTTACCCATGGATCCTCCTATAGTAGAGGAATTGCTGCATTGCTGTTCTAAAGTATGAACTGTACGTATTAAAATGTATGATATTTGATGAATACGGAGTATGTGTACAGAGTGTGAATCTAGACGGCACAATCGTAGTATAAAAAGGTCCAGAACAATAATGATACTGCATTTGAATATAAACACAGGAAGAAGACTTACGCTCTAAGAGTCGTTAGATCATATACTTAATGATCATAATTAGTTGATTGCTTTTCCAGTTCCTATGTGGACTGAAATTCATAGCTTACCTCAAAGGAGCAGTACTCTGACGTAAAGAAGGGATGATCTAAGAAATGTACGTAATAAAAATGATCCAGGTTTGTACAACTCCCTACCCGTGTACTTACTATCTGTCTTGTGTTGAACTTTTCACACTCACTTCTGGTCACTCTAGGGCCTAGTCTTGTTCGTCAGTTTTCGTGCATGCTATCATACAGAGCACAGAGTCATAAGTGACACTGACGTCTTGTACAATTTCGAAAGGGTGCCATATACGTTTGGGTAGTATGGAGATACAGTCTGATACATCAGACTGCGGTCGAATATGATAGGTATTTTTTGTTCTTTCTCGGTAGTCCGTCGTACGCTCTCTGATATAGAAGAGAAGCTTCTCTTGTGTACTCACAAGTATCACATGACTGATGTCTATTCTGGAACAAACTTTGCTTCCTCCTGTGACATCTTCTTGTTTGCTTCCATGACTCGGTTGGCCTGTTCCCTCCTTCTTTCTTGGTCTGAATACATTGGGATGTATTTGTACATCAGAAAAGGGACATATGATCATGTCGATCGACGATCACACTTCCCCGGTCTGCTCTGGAAAATACAGCTAGAGAAGTTGCTAAAAAGACAGGCCTAAAAACATAGCTATGAGGAGCTGACATATTAATTACACCTTGACGTAGAAACCTGTGAAGAAAGTCAATGATTCTTATGTGTTCGTCTGAACCTTCCCTTCATCTAGAATATCGTCAATGCTCATACGTTTTATGCCTTTATGCCAGATCTTTATGGAAATCGCATGATTGATATCCGCTTGCTCTTTCAAAGACTTGCGTAGAACTTTGGAAAGCTCCAACACTTCATACGGACTCTTCCCAGTCTTGATGTACGAGGATATGTAAGGGAAAACGAGCATATATTGAAAAGGATGGGAAGACACCATCAAGTCGTACAAGGATCAAACCGAAAGGGTACTGTACAATGTATGGTCCCCTATAGGAGTGTAAAAAGAGACATGGTAGATCTAGCAAAGCTCATTACATAGTGTCAGTCACATGTCAAGTATTAAAGTCCATGGCACATAAGACCACCGTGAGATGGTTGGCAACTCCAACAAATCTCAACTGATATTTGATGGTCTCACACGAGGATATAATTAGTGCGTTCCATCTTTGCCTGGATACCGTTAAGGATCGCTACGGGTGAAAGGTAATCTTGTTATGTTCCTAAAAGTTCCTCTAATCTACCATAGTGGGAATCTATTGGGCTATACTAGAGTTTTGTGAATGGAAGTAGATTCTTATGATTACGAATGAGTGGATTGGCATGTTTTGAGAGGTTGCGATTTAAGAAGGCACAGTAGCCTCTATAAATTCTTCAGTTGTAGCAACAACAAACGTTATCGAACAATCTACACAACAACGGGTTGTGTCGAGGGCCAATCAGGCTCGAGAGAGCCACTGGGTCGGAGTGCCCTGTCGAACGGAGAAAAGGCAAGACTTGATGAGGTGAACTGTGTACACCTATAGTTCTAGATCATATCATGAATCGAGGCAGCTTAGGTCTAGGGAGGCAGGCAGTGTAAGGAAGTTCAAAAGATCCTTACATTCCACGTATTCCAACCTACCTACAACGACATGCTTGGATTCCTGAAAGCTCAATCATGACGAAGTTGAAATGAGAAAGGAAACTATTCACCACTGTCCGCATGTAGGTGGAACTCTCGGTACCGACTCAAAGACTGCGCAATCTGTTGTTCGAGGGTCTGTATACCCGAACATCCTCCTTTGAATCCAAAATTATCATGGCGGTAAGGTATTTCCTCCTCGATGCGGGATCGATCGCAATCCGCAGGAACTCCTGAGCATTAAAAATGTCACCATTTTTCTAGGCTGAGCAGAGAGAAAAGCTCCAAAGTGCTGCTACTGCATTGGTGCAGGTGAAGGCTTGGCGTACAGTACCACTCAGACATTGAGGCGCTTTCGTTTGAGAATGGTACGGGCCCCAACAAGGTTTGTGTTGGCTCAAGTCATGCCACCGCTCTTCGGTCCACTGTTCTCATCACTGCCTACAGTAGCGCCTGCTGGACAAGGTAGGGATCCTCGGAGCTCAATCATAACGAAGTAGAAGTGGGAATTTTCATTCAATGCAAGACACTTTAAGGTGAAAAGAACTTGTTCAAGTGAACCCAAGGTACATCAACGACGAGTCTAGTCGTTTGAGTTGCAGTGTCATCGAGTCATGGACCCCACTGCCGCTCACTTGCTAACCTGAAACACAACTAATTCGGTGCCCTGTCAAGAGAAGTGAGCGAGGACAATATCTCCCGAACCACAGAGCCTTGGCAACTTGAGTTGTGTCATCTCGTCGACAATGCAGGGTAGGCATTTTGGTAGATACTTTCCATCATCATTGAAAATATCACTATGCAGTATTCAAGCCTTGCACGCAAGAGCAGCATCAATAGCTTCGTGATTGAGACTGACACTTATATGATGACTTGTACGATGACAATGGCTTCTCCTTCTTTCCTTTATGGCTCTTTACTTGATAACGTCGAGGAAGCTCTCCTCGAGCCTAAACTTTCTCTTACAATTGTTACTTATACTTTGCAGTTACATGCTTCTCGCAACTTCTTGCAGCCTCGATCTTCTGCCGGACTAAGAGAAACTTACATGCAACTCGTGGCGAATGTACAAACTGCACTACTACGGTGGACAGAAGTGTTCATTGATACAGGAACACACATGTTTTCTACAGACCAGCTCCAGCATCATGAACAAGTCATTGAGCTTTCTCAAAGCACACTGTAGCTTCCAACGTAATGACATCGGTAAGATGAACCGAGTCTCAGCCTATGTGAGATTCAAGTTCGAATATTATCGGTATCAGAGGCTGTGATAGGATCTGACCTCATACAGGACTTCAAGTGTTGCGTAGAGACCAGCTCGAACATCATGACGAAGTCGTTGGGGGTTTAAAAATACAAAATTACCTTCATTTTCACATTTGTTTTTCTGCTAACATAAACTCAGAGTCAGCCCAAGTGTACTTTATCGGCGGAGAATATCGGCATCAAAGTCTAAGATAGGAAGTGACCTTCTGTAGCTGTGTTATTGAAGTCCGAGTCCTGTTGAAATGCCTCGCAGTTTTTGAAAGAATTTCGTGTTTAAGTGGGAACTAAAAATGTCGTCCTCGAATGTTCAGCATTCCATCGTAGATTGCAAAATTCCAAGGCTACAAGAGGTACCATCGGGACTGTTATTGTACCCCGCACTATAAGCAAAAGCCAGTCCTCATATTTCTCCCAGGATCTTAGATTGTTCTATAATATGGAATGAACTACCAAGTCGAATTTTCTGCTATTTTTTAGAAGATCACACTTGTACTTTCCATCTGCTACATAAAGCAGTCCGATACTTCGCTCCTTCCAAAAGGTGTCTCTCTCGGGGTGTTCATCCCGATGAAGCATCACAACTTGATATCCGATTGTAGGATTATTATCTCTTATAGTAGGCGCCCACTCGCGCATGCACGCCCCTTATAGAACCCAAACATTCATTAACTTTCATTTGCTCGATGCGAAGTGGTTGCTTTCCTTTACGGTGATGTGCATCTTTTTTCTGTCTCCCTCTCTTCCATCATCCACTAGCACCGCCGAGGCAGGAAAGGCGCGGGGTTGATGGTCTTCAGGCTATGACAGGCAAACACTAATGAATACAGTATCTGATCATAAAAGAAGGAGAAAGGGAGAAACGGGGAGGGACACAGAAGCTTTTCTGTCTCCTCCTTTGAGTGAAAAAGTTATCTCCACGAGACCGAAAATCGAGTAAATAAGTGAATCTGGAGATCCCTACAAAATTCCGAGTTTGAAGAAAGTCAAAGCGAAACATACGAGACACAAATTCTGTAACCACAACAGTGAAGGGTCATGGGTCGAGAAACCTCGTTCACGACCCAGAATTTTCCCGATCCGGAGATCCAAGTTTTGGGAGAGCCCTGAGCAGGACTTTCGCTCCGGGAAGCAATGTCCCAGAGTTTTTTCCAAAAAAAGCTGAGAAGTCCTTCGGTGCCATACGGACGGTCTTGTGCCTCTCGGTCTCAGGTGAGCCGAAATATGGACAGACAATTTCCAACCAAAACAGTGAAAAGGAGAACAGAGGTGGAGAAGGACTTGGGGCACTTTCTGGACTTTTTCTTATCTGAATTCGGCTAATTCATGCGTAAACAGTGGAACACGATAGGCAATTGTGGAGGCTGACTGGCTGGGGACTTGGGAGTTCAGAAGATGAAGTGACCCGGAGTAGTTCACTCCAGCAGAAGTCCTGGAGTCCGCCAGCAGACCCTCGCTCCGATACGCGGACCGTCGCCTGTCTCCTGAAGCCAAGGGGAGGGGAAGGAGGAGCAGGAGGAGGATGGGGATATGCTGATAAAAGGATTGGTTATTATGATTCGGGCAGCAGGAGCAGCAGCTCAGCCAACACCTCCCCATCTCTTCTTGGCCCGACATCTACGCTCCTCGTGTACACTTCCCTCCCTGGTTGCCCTGGTTGGGCCCCCCTAAGCCCCACCCACCGGACCCCGGTGCGCCCCATCGTACCCATTGCATCGCACTGCATCCCATGACATGGCACCATGAGACCATGAGACCATGAGACTGACTCTGTGTCTTCTTCTTCTTCTTCTCCTCCTCCTCCTCCTCCTCCTTCACTCACCGCACTGGTGCTGGGGCTGGCTGGTGCTGCTGATGTGGGAGAAAGAAAGGGAAGGGAAGGGAAGGAAAGGGGACGAAAGCAAAAAGGAAGGAGGACGGAAGGTAAAGGTCAACAGGCCAAAGCTACCTTCCTCAGCGACAACCTTTTCACCCTTTTCCCCCACAACAGTTGAACATCCTTTCGTACTGTTGTGACATCGCGCTAGCTCTCCCCTCGAGCAGGCGGGTGGGACGGATTGACTTGCTGCATGCGCAGGAGGATGGGATGTGTGGGTGTGGGTGGGGGGAAGAAGAGCAGAGAAGTAGGAAAGAAAAGTAACACAATGGAGGAACGGCAGTGCAGGGCAGGGAACGGGGAGACAAGGGAGGGCAGGTAAACTACTTCTGCTGCTGCTGCTGCTCTTGTTCTTAGTGAAGTGCAGACTTGGAGCATGAGTTTAAGAGGCGAATGTATTCTGACTGACACAAGGTACCGAAGGGGAGAAGAAGATTGGAGAAGTAGAACTGTGTCGACAGATATGGGGAGGGAAAAAATCTTGATGACGGTGGATTGATGGTGGGAAGGAGTGGGCCGCAGTTGTACAGGGCCGGAGACGAGACGTGAGAGAGTGAGTGAGTTCACACCTACTGGTAAGGAAATTATTACTGGAGTCTGGGAGCTAAGTCAATTCAATTCGAGAGCATCAGAAGGGGTAGGAGCTGGGGCGGGGCACCGAGAGATGCTGCTTTTTGTGAATGTGGTTATATGTGGCTGCCTGTGTGAGTTTGTGCTGCGGGATTGAACGCAAGGTCGTGTTTGAACTTTGAGCGATGTCGGTGAATGTTCGCAGCCAGCCAGCCAGCTAGCAATCTGCACTCAGATGCGTTCGCTTTCCTGTCCCGCCTCCTGAGCAGCATTTTCTCCGTCGAATGACCAGGATGAGGATGATGATCATGGTGTTCTCCCTCTGGTCCTCGCTTCTCCTCCTCCGGGCCTCGGAAGCGGAGCCTTGAAACCTCGCGCACCCATCTGCTCTTCCAGTTCCGGTGTTCAGTCCAGTCCAGTCCAGCCCGGTCTCGCTTTATCAGCAGTCTGTCCTTATCGCGACTCCCCACTGCACTCCATGTTCATAAAGCCCACCTCACTTCCACTCGCAGTTCCCTCTCTGCTCGCTTTCCATTCCACTTGAAGCACTACTGGCACTTGCAGTGTTCTCCATCCACACTGGGTGGTGCCAGGTTCTCCCAGGACAAGGTCCGCAAGTATGCAAGACTGATCAGCGTGAACAGCATGAGTCCTGCTGGTGCCGACGACGGTTTGGGTTCGTCCTGCTGCTCGCGCCACGGTCGAGCGCTCATCAGCTGCAGAATCACTTGAGATCTTCCTTCTGTTGAGAGTGAAGCTTTCAGCAGTGTGCCCTCCTGCAGACCGGGCGTCTGTAAATTACGTACTCGGAGAGCACATATGCATGATGGACAAGCCCTCGTGTTACTGTATGTCATCAGTCTTCTGCAGTTCAAATTGCAGCACCTTGGCCCTTTGAAATTGAGAGAGCGAGTCGGCAGAACGAGTGAGCTGACAGTGTAGGCACCGCAGCTCGACGTCGAGTACGTCCAGAGCTTGTGCGGCTCGTCACACGTCGTCTGTGTCCGTCCATAGCACCGTCGTGTTTGAAATCGGGTCGAGAACTCTAGCCACCGAGAGCCCGGAATCCAGACGCGACGTACCTTTGAGTTCGGCGGAATCCAGCCCTTGAATTTTTGACTGCAATGATATAAATTTCAACCATAGCAACTAAGGCACGAATATTTGAGAAAACGAATTTGGGACTGGCTGGCTGGGCTGGCATCTTGCACCGAGCTGCTTCTACTACTGCGTGAGTGCGTGCGTGCGTGCTGGCTGCAGCTTCGTGAAACTTGCAAGTTTTGTGACACTGCAATATACATCCAGATGATTTCGGGGTAAAGCGTGATGGAAAGCGCAAGCTTGGGGAGGAGCGCAGAAAGAGCTAGGAGGGTCAGCCGAGAGACCTCCACGTGAAAGTGGGCGGACCCGAGCCTGCGATCAGCTCCGAAACCTCACGAGGAGAAAGTAAGGAGGGAGGACAATGCAGGGGCGGATGTCCAGAGAACGTGAGATTTTGCAGGAAATTGTGGAGAGAATAGGATGGGTGTACGCAGGCCTATGGCAGCCCTTGCCACCGGATAACAGGTGCGCTTCTCATCCCAAGCACCACATTGTTCAGCTCAAGTTGTCATGATTGAGTAACACGGTCGTGGTGCAAGAGAGATCTCGTCCGTGTGCTTGCTTTTCAGCTCGTCTGTCTGTATTAAATCAGCTAAATTTTAGTTTCTAGGAGCTCCTCGCGAGCGGTGGTAGACTTGTCTGAGTGCCCTCGCTCGAGCGACGAGATCTCGTCGTGAAATTGTTCTCGTCGTCCGACGACCATCCCAAAGTCCGAACTCGGTTGAGATATGTCAATAGCTCGTACTCGGCACGTGGGGGGAAACATTCTCGACCCATGATCAGCTTTCATTGGGGGTTGGTACTTGTCGCGCTAGACTAGAATTTCGGGCGCACGTAGGATGCATCGTGCAGTTTCTGGGCGTGGATGGAATTTCTTCAGACGAAGGGATCAGGTTCTCGAAACCATATAGGGTACATCGCCTTCATCTTGCTCGGGAATGTCGCCGTGGTGACCTTTGCAATGCCCTCTGACGTGCAGCTCAGCTTTGTCCGACCGAACCTCGCCGAAAAGTGAGGACGGACTCCCTATCTTCTTTGAGCATGCTGTCAAGACGCTTTTGCCTTGCCATCGACTTGACTGAGGGGTTTGCTACTTTGAGTGTTGAGAAGGTATTCTCGACGATAATTATTACCGACTATGTCACTGAGACAATCCATCAGCCATCTGATTTTGCGCCAATTGAGCTCTAGGGTTCTTTCCCGTCGTCCGGATTGGTGCCTTTTACTTCCTGCGTGGTTCGAGCAGGTGCTGCTGCCCATGCCGGGCTGCAGAATCAGTAAGCCCTTCGAGTTTAGGTGACGCTCCGAAAATATCTCAGCATGAGTTCTTCGAGCATGTACTTTCCAGCGGTATGGTCGTGATGCCTTCTTAATCAAACATTTCTGGGTGTCAAAAAGCGAACTTCAGACTCCGTGCCGAGTTACAGTCCGGGCGCTGCACTGATTTAAATATCAGGACCTGCTCCCTTGTCTTGGAAACCTCTAGGATCTTACGAGAACGATGCGTTATCTCTCCTGCAACGTAGGTTCTGAATTTATTTATTTTGCGACGTCCTCACTGGCTTGAAATAGAGGACCCAAAATTGGGAAGTGAAACTGATTTCGCTTCATGCCGGAAATGGATCCCATCACCAAGACCTGAGATTGGTGGTGGATCTTTCACTCGATCGAATCGAGTGATCGAGTACTCAATGTGTTCGTTTCGGGATACGCAGGGAATTGCTGCGGCTAGTCAGCTTGGATTTGAGCCCGCATATTCGATCGAATCGAGTGATCGAGTACTCAATGTGTTCGTTTCGGGATACGCAGGGAATTGCTGCGGCTAGTCAGCTTGGATTTGAGCCCGCATATTCTGTCTCTCCTCACGTGCATTCTGGGACGATCGATTATATCATTTCGATCACTGGGAATGATGAGCTCTGAGTGTTCCTGATTGCGAGGCCTGAGCATGTATGCCGAGCTAATCTCGGATTCAACGTTGACGTGGGATCTTGAAGATTTGATCAGTTTTCTGAATCACGGAGCGACTCACTCTCAGTGTACGAGTGGTGAAGTCAAGAAATTCCCTCGTCTGGATGACTTCAACTCTTGGGAACCGAAGCGCCGAAGAGAATTCGGTGTCTCTGATTAATCCTGCGTGGCATCTATACTTGTGCTTGGATTCTGTCCTTCTCGCTCTCGTGCTTTCACGTCCCGTGATTCACACGTCGCGCTCAATTGCTTACAGCAATCCGTGGTACTTGCTGCCGACGTCTCTTCATAAATTCAGACGTGAAGCAGGAATATCTTCTTGTAGAAAGGACATGCCTGCCTCTCGTTTCTCTCTAGGGCTGTCTCGAGATCCAGTCGAGGCGAGGAGGCTGTCCACTGCCAGCTGCTGCCCACCGCAGTCAGGCTGAGCTCGTACGTCTGGAATGTGGTCAGTCTGAGACGAGTCCGTGAGCACCCGTATTTAGCAACCGTCCCACTTGGTTGAGGATATTATTCGGAAGCTGTAGTAATTACAGCAGTCGACTAGATTTCCCGACGTTGGGTGTGAGCGCACTGCGTGTGGCGGTGGATGAAGACGAATTAGTGAAGCTCGAAGCTCGGATCTGATGACACAGGTCGATACGACCGCTGTGTAAAACGTGTGTTTGCTCGAGAATGTTCGCTTTTTCGTTTCGTAGGTTCCGTGAGGTGTCAAGGTGTCCAACCTCGGTTAGGCTGTAGTCAGACGGTAAGACCCATCGAGTAGAAAAGGCGAAAAGGATGTTCGGGGTCCGATAACAGGCGGACACGGGCGACGAGAGGGCGTGGCGAGTGGAGAATAGGTCGCATCGCGTTCACGTGCTTGGGAAATGCATGAAAGTGGGGATGGCTGGGGCAGGGGCTGGGGTTCAGGGGTGGCGAGCCTACGGTTGGGAATGAGTCGGGGGAGGGAATGGAGGGTAGGCGAGACGAGGTGAGACGAGATGACACCATGGATGGGACAGGGCAGCTCTCGTGCAGGCGAAGGAGGACTCGGGGAAGCCGAGCAAAGTCCTATGATTGCTATAGAAAGAAAGGGGAGGGGAGAGAGCAAAAGGGCGGTCCTGTCACAGTCGCCAGCGAGTCAGCCAGACAGGCTCACACGGTCATCGTGCAAGGAAGGCTCAGATATACAGTCACTGGACCTGGACCCGGGCTTGACTTGTCTGATTGGCTGGGCTGGGTTCCGTTGGGTCTGGGTCTGAGGAGGAGGAAAGTTTGCGAATCTCGAGACGAGAAAAAGCAGCAGTTGAAGGGAGGGAGTGTTGATCACTGCACTGCACTGCACTCGCTCCCTCACTCACTCACTCAACTGCCAACGTCATAAAATGGAGGAGGTGGTGCAGTGGTAGCAGCAGCACGGTCTGGGCTAGTTGTTGGTATTTCCTGGTGCCAGGGGGCTCCTGGACTGGGCTGGACTGGCGGCAGCAGCTGCTGCAGCAGCAGACCAGTGCAGTGCAGTCGAGTCAGTGCCCGAATCTTCCACTTGCATAATGCTGCTTTCCTGCCCCTCCATCTATCTGGCTGCCCTTCTGCGCACGTCAAGTAAACGAGGTCATTTCCCCAGCCAGCCTCATCCAAAGCCTTTTAACTTGCATGCTCCATCGCCCTTCCCTCCCTTCCTGCCCCGAAATACCATGCCGACAGGTGAGTCCCACCCCACCTCCCGCGCCGCAGTTGGAGGCGCCGGCGCTCTTCAAGTGGAAGAAGAGGAAGAGGAAGCAGGCGTTCTCTTCGGGTCTGTGTGCTTTCTCTTCCGGTCCTGGCGCTGCTGATCCCGTCTTCGCATCCCATGCCAATGCCATGGAACGCGAGGCGAGGCCAGACAACGGAGCACTTGTCCTCTCGCAGAAAACGCCTGAGACCTTTCCCCCCGCCTCTCGCTTAATCAGAGGTCAACACTGGAGCCCTCTCGGAGACGAGAGAGAGAAAGAGAGACGCCACGGGCCGTTCTCCGCTTCTCAGAGTGGGGGAGTGGGAGATCCAATTCGCAGCAGGACACCTGCGAGCCAGCCTGGGCTAGAAAAGATATTCCTAGTGTCCTACGGTCGGATCCATGGAGTCCTGAATCTCCGGAATCATTTCGCCTCGATAGATAGCCCGCCGGTGGTCCAGACAACCAAAAATTGCTCGAATGCTTTATCGTGGACTTTCTTAAAACTTATCTGCTCCGGCCTCCGGGGAAGATTCATCCCGCCCACTTGCCAGCACTGTTGTTGGGCAAACACACGCTGGTGGGCCTCGCCGGTCCCCTCCGCCCGCTGCGCTTCCCGCTCGCTATAGGACGCCTTTGGGTGGAGATCGATGCTCCTGCCCCGGGCTCTGCCATGATGGGTACACAGATTACCCCCGAGATCTCCTGCCCGAAGCCTTCCTTCGCCGTATCCTCACACCGACTCAAATGTTTGCACTATCTTTTATTAGCAGGATTGACTAATGTCCGCCCTTTCTTTCCACCCATGCTGCTTCCTTCCCTCCCTCCCTCCCTCCCGCCGGCCCGCCCGCCCCACTATGTGTTGCGGTTGCTAGGCATAGGCTGCTGCTGCTGCTGCTGCTACTACTGGACTTCGAGCTTTGGGTTTCGCGTGGCTATAGGCTAGCTCGCTCTCATGAGCATCTTCTTCCACTGCAAGGGTTTGTCGCCTGGTGCTTCGTTCACCATCTGAGTGACCCGATTGTCTTAATGTGTCTAGATTGATCGGAGACAGCAATGCAAATAAATCCAGACACATCGTGATTAGTGGAGACTAGGCTGGCGTTCAGATCTAGCGGGTGATTTGTCACGAGCAAATTCGTTGCGGGCTTTGGGTCGATGCTGTTTGGCGACTACACCAGCCTCGGGCGCCCACCGCCGCTGGTCCACTCCCCCACTCTCTCTCTCACTCCCATCAGGCTTGGCGTGATGCCCGGTCGTGACGGTCATTGAGAATCCCGTCCCTCGGACGTAGAATGTTTTCTGCCTGCGTGCCCACGGCAGAGCTGCTTCTGTTCACAGCAGATGATGAGATACCCTCCTGGCAAACGAGGCCCGAGGACCTCTTTCCAACGATCGACAGCCAGGAGTCGGGATCCGTCGGACTGAGATGTATAGTATATTCACTCCGCGTGGGCCCCCATTACCGGCCTGCGTGCGCGCGTGCCTGCTCCATCTCTTCCCCTTTTTAGGCCTGTGTGGGCGAGCGAGTGCGGTCGACGAAGCCGTAGGACTCGAGCCTTGGACGCCCCATTGACTTGCCACTCAGTCCAGTGCGCACGGACGGCCCCTCCGGTGCATAAAAGAGCCGAACTCTTGACGCGGTTCATCAGACCCCACCCCACCCCACCCCACCCCAGCCTCCAGCGCTCGACGGTCAATCCGCTTCGGACTGCGATGCGACGCTACAACCTTGAAAGCTTCCAGGGAGGGCCGGGAGAGATGAATGACCACCAGCCTGACCGACCTGCCGCTACTAGCGTGCGAGACGCGTCTCGCCCTGGTCATGCGTCTGTCGTTCGTCGAGACGGCCGAGATGACGCTGGTTCGCTCTTTTCTCGAGCCCTTTCCAGCGCCTCGAGCAGTTAGCAGTTAGCGCGAGAAACGTATGGGTCCCGTGCCACTTGCGGTCCTGCCTCCTGAGCAGCCCCGCAAATGTGTCGCTGCTGAGCGTTCCGTGTCCCCCACCCTGTCTGATCCACATGCCTCGCTTTGCTGTGCGTTGCCTCACCTCGCCTTTAGCCTGCGATCACGTTCAGCTAGATTTCCGGGGGCCGAAGGAAAATTATATACCGTAATTTATATCGAGGAAACCAATCCTGACGGTAGGTTTCGTTTCGAATATGGAATGAGATCTCTCTGGGAAAGATGTGCGCTGCGTTGGTGAGCAGTCTATCTGAGCTCGTTTGTCAAGACTGTCTTAAACAGGCGTAGCCTCCGAGATTGATGTAAGTTATCGTCTGACATGTTTCAAGTAATCTCGACAGCTGATAATAACGAAGAAATTGATTCCTTCCAGATCTGAGAGAACGGGACTGGAATGAATACGATTTCCTCAAGAAGAGAGCAGAATCCCTTCTTTAGTTCATCTCAAGTGCAATGCTGGCACGCGCAAGTTCTTTGCACCGAATATAGGAAGCCACAACAATGAAATAGTATAGGGGGAACTACATTTTCTTTCCGTCTTTGGTGTCACAAATCTGAAATTGGCCATCTGAATTAATTATATTTGGTGAGGCAGGTAATTACGAAATCAGAAAGCATGATTACATCTTAATAGTTCATATTTTCTTAAATCCTTAAATGTAACTCACGCTGTTCCACTGGAGACGGGACGGTGGCTACGGGGCTCAGATTGGCGTGGTTTTGTCCGTGCAGCTTGGTAGGATGGGCAGATGGATACTACAACGGACCTGTTTCGGAGAACTCGGAGGCACCGCTGCCGTCGAGCGCTCAATGGAATCAAAGAAAAGAGCGGAGGCGGATGGTGGAGGAGTTGCAATCAGTGCCAGACAGTCGTCTTACCGACCGGCCGGACCTCAGCAACATCGAGTGGTTCTACTTGATTTCGTCCAAGTTCGAATTTCCCTTCGGAACGGATGGGTAAGCAATCAGTACAATCTCTCTCTCTCTCTCTCTCTCTCTCTCTCTCTCTCTCTCTTGTGCATGGTATCTCGGTTCGCAATGTTTCGCGAGTTTGTGGTCAAACTCCAGTCGTCGGAAGAAGAAGATATCGGGGAAAGTCCCTCTTACCGTGTGCACCAGCTTCACTGCAATGGAATGGAATGGAAGGCGCTGTTCCGGGATGGGCCGATCTGAGGTGCTCTGCAGAAGCAGCCAGCAGCTTTCCGAAAAAGTTTGCGTGGTGGCGTCAAGCTAACATATCCGGAAACGTTTATTCGAGGCCAGAAGCCGACACGGCTCCTGGCATTTGGGTCGCGAATTCCTAGGAGCAAGCAACTATCTTCTCGCTCGAGCTCGAGCTCGGGTCCACACCTCGATCTGCTCGGGTGGCTGCCCGAGCTCGCCAGCTCGGCAGCAATCTGAGAGCCCACTGCCCAACCTCTGCTCGTTGCTCCGTACGTACCCCCCGGGGCGATGGGCGATGGTCAAGCTGAAAAGCCGAGCCACCCCCATGACCGACCGTGGACCCCATCTTCCTCCGGTAGCCGGTCACCTGCATGACAGGTGTGGAGTCACCTCCGAAACCCAGGTTCGTGGGGCCTGCTGCGTCGTCTGCCGGCGATCCTCCCTCAGGCACCCAACCCAACCCATCGAGTTGGGGCGATTAGTTCGTTACAGTGGTTACTTAGAAGACGGCGAAGGTCGATCTCGCGGCGAGGTCCCAGGACGCTGCTGCACCGGCACGTGCCTGTCCTGTTGGTAGAATGCGGCGAGCCGCGAGAGTAGGTACTGATGAAAGCGATCGAAAGCTCGCCGGCCGGAGAGAAGACATGCCCCCCGCAACGGTCGTGGGCACTGCGTCGGCGAGGGCCATCATGACCAACGTGGCTGGAACGGACCGGTTCAGGTGGCCACGGCCCCCGAGGCCGATGATGGGGCCAGTGGGTCACACACTTCCACCAGTGAGGGGCGCAGGGGACAACCGCGCCACTCATAACCCGGCGGATGGACGGGATGTTCCCGACGACGGCAGCCTGGTGGATGGACGGACGGATGCATCTGATCCGGTGTTTGTCCGCTGACGAAGAGCAAGCAGTACGGCGCCCGTAGGCCCCTCGGACCCTTCTCTCCTCTCTCTCTCTCTCTCTCTCCCTCCCTCGGGGGGGACGGATTTGGCCGTCAATGCCGTTGCAATATTGCACCGAAACGAACTTCATGCGTCTCAGTTCGTGAGCATGCGATGCAAGCCAGAAGATATTTGGGTACAAATCTCGAGAGGGCGGAGTGTTGCGTAGGGCAGACAGCGCCGTTCGGACGACACGGATGTTTTGCTCCTCTCACCTCTCTCTATGTACTATGTCGCCCAATTATTTGCTCCCTTGCTCGCATCACTGGCTGGCTGGCCTGCTGTCAAGTCAGTCGACATACGGGTCACCGGCTTCCACCGGATACAATGTGCACAAGGATATGTGTACGTTATTACGCCATTCCTCAGGAAACTCGACTCGGGCTCGATTTTATCGAGCTTCGCAATTTCCTACTGGCCTTCTCTTTGTCGAGGTCCATAATCACGATCTGACCTCGCGTTCCCGACTGACATGACGTGCACTCGAGGACCGGAAAGAGAGGTAGAGAGGCCGAGGGGGGCGAGAGCGAGAGCGACCGACCATTTGTACAGTACGAACAGGTTTCGGGAAACGGTTGGATGGGTTCAGAAGTTCAGACAATGACAAGGTCTACTAGACATGCTCATTACCACCTTTTACTGGCGCTCGATGCGAGTGAGATCTGCACACCGAACTCAGAAATCGTGTCAGAAGTGTGTCGTATTGACGATCCTCAGCTCTTTCTCTCTCGGTTGGAGCGAGTCAGACTGTTGAATATTATCAGTCCCACGTGCCCGGCCATCGGAGCTGACGTCATGATACGAATTTTAGCTTGCTGTAAGTCATCGCACCTGTCAGTCACCTTTGTCAAAGAAGAAGGGAGACTCCGACAGTGGAGAAAAAGGCCTGTCGTCGCCGAACGAAGTGCAAGGGTGAGAGTAACGCAGTGCTTTGATGAGGCTTACACTGAGGTGCCGTCTCACCTTGAAAAGGTCAGGTGAACTCAAAGACTATCTGGTACCAAACGATCCTCCTCGGCAGCGCTAATTGACGGCATTTTGTCCTCGAATTGTATGTCGCAGCATTGAAGTCCTTCAATTGAAAAATACTCTTGAAACCTAAACCGTTGGAGAAACCAGCCGAAATCAACGCACACTGAATTGCCAAAAGCCAAACATAGTAACAAATCAATAAATCTAAGAGCCGTAGTATCCTCTTAAGGGCCTCGGAGAATCAGCTACTGATTGCCTTCAATATGTTCTCGTACTTTTGGAATCTCAAATGACATATATCTAGTACGAATTGAAACTCTTCACTAATTTCCTGAAAGCAATTCTCATTTGGTTGAAAAGCACCAGCATTGAGAAGTATTCATGACCTGCACGAGCGACCATGTCTTGCTGGAAATATGTGCTCCAATTGATCTTTGGGGATAATTCTATCGAGTAACTCTTCACTATTCTTAGCTTGCGGAAAGTCAAAAAGCCTGCTCATTCCTAGAATTAACTGGAGTTTGGGGGGAGAAAGCATGATCACTGATTTCTCTCTAAGCGACCGCTCAATACTGTGGAATCTTGAGCTGCCATTTGAAATGAGCAATGCTTATTCAGGTCGTATGCATATTTATGTGCAGGACACCCGGAAAAATGCTTATGACGGGTGGCTATGAATGGATCTGTGACGGCGAGGAAGTAAACGGGGCATTGTTTAGTCGCACAGCCTTATGCAAGGTCAGTTTCTTGAGCTCTTTACAGTCTGCTGTTGATGTATGGTGCTTTCCTTCTTCCCGTCGAAAAGTGCGCTTCTACTCTTTTGGAATTCATAAATGAAAAACTCAGATGGAAACTGCGAAGTATCTTTCTCGGCGAAACTAACTGAACTTTCACTTCCTCGTCATGCTTCGGGATTCATCGTCCTTGATCATCAGGCAACAGGAATGAAGGTACGTGTTCTACTATTTCTGTCTCCGTTATCACAAGACTAGACCAGATGAAAACAACCAAGGTTAATGTCTCAAGGGCTTCAGCTAAGTGCATGACTGTCTACGCATTATAAAGTATATGTTCCTCAAACCTCAAGTTTAGACATAAAACTTCAATGCAGTTGCAGATGCTCAGATCAACAAAGCTCGAGTTATCAATGAGCATGACTGCGTAGTGTCCGTGGATTGATCGATTCTATAATCTCATTTCAATTGCATTTGTTATTGGGTGGCAGACGGTACTGTGCCTAGCAGTTTCCGGAGGAGTTGTGGAAATCGGCACTACTGCCTTGATCGATCAAAACCTGCAGCTGGTGCAGTTCGTGCGCAACATGTTCCAAAGAAGTTCGGGTACCCCAAAAGTACCGATCTCTCTTCTGAGCCACGAGCAGAATGACGACAACCGAGACAACGGTCTCTTGTTCAACGCGTCGTCGGCAACTGCAAAATTCTCATCTCCGGCGTCGACGAATCTGGGAATGTCGAACCCAGGCCTGCCAAACTCATCGGCTGGAAGAGGTCTGGGTTTGGCCCCGCCGTACCAACCGAACTTCTCCAACCCCGGTCCTCTTCAGCAGATCAATTCATTTGGATTGGACACGATATCGTTCGCTCCAAGTCTTTTGAATGGATTGATGCGAGAGCAGGGCCCGGAGCTGAATCTGCAACAAGCAGCTGCAGCAGCAGGGTCATGGGATCTGAGTCTAGAACAACAGCTGATGCAAGATCAGAACATGATACCGGCCAATCTCAAACACAAATTGACAGGGCCCACTTCTGCCCTCACAAAGTCAGGCTCGTGTGTGGCCTCCTTTGAGCAAGCTCTATTCCACCCGCATGCTCAACACATTCCACAGCGACGAGCACTGCCCGTGGAATCGACCGGGAAGCTGTTATCAGATTTCCAAGCTCAACTTTTTAACCAGTCTCAGCTACAGCAGCAGAGCAGTCTCATGCAGAACTCTGCGGAGACAGTGGTGAGCGATTCTCCTCATCATTCGCCTGTACCCGGCCAACCTTTGCCCGACTCCTTGAAACACGCCCATTCTCCAGATATCCACTGGCGAAGCGTCACACATTCCAAGGGAATTGGCTCTCCCCGAAGACTTCTGACGGTCGAGTCCGGCAAAGGTCTGGCCGAAGTGTCCAACATCGATGACCCCAGCTTGAAATGTCATCAGCTCGCCAGCCCCTCCGAAGAATCTCACCAGCACAACTTCACCGACTTGATTCCCCCCTCCAACCACGGCCACGGACAGCAGACTCAGTACTTGGCCGAGCTGACGGGCGAAGCGCACACCGGACAGTCAGCTGATCACTCGTGGTCCAGCGAGGCCATATCACCCACCATATCTGAGCAGGAGCAAGACCCGGAGGATGGCTACTCCCTCTGGGAAGATACGAGCGAGACATTGGAGAACGGAAGATTTTTAGGCGATTCATTCAAACATGACAGAAGCAAGAAAGCAAGACTGTGTGGCTTGAACATGAACGGCCACCATCAGAGCAATGGGACAGCAAACGGCATGGGCAGCTTCCTGGACCACCCCCACATGGATGAGAGAACGCGCCAAGAGAACGAGAAGTTTCAAGTTCTCAGAGCCATGCTTCAGCCACATGCCACTTGCAAGGTGAGTCAGTCCATTGCGTTCTGTCCCTCTGGACCGATCCATCAGAAGCTCAGTGCAATATATGCTTGCTCTGAATTCTAGCCGTCGGCATTTTGCTTCATGTGGCATGTAAATAAACTCCTGTGCCTAGTCTGCATACTGTCAGGTCCATCGCAAGATCAGCTGACAGCAATATCCCTGCGATATTTGTTTCTGCTTTCGTGTGGCAAGTAGTTCAAATCTGCATACTGATAGTATCAATACCCGAGTTACATCTCAGCAGACCAGGAATGGACTGCAAATTTTCTGTCGGTTTTGATCCGAACCGGCGGTGTTCCGATTTCGTGTGGCATGCCGATGAAGTCCACTTCGCTGAGTTTAGCCAGACACACTAGTTTATGCCAGCTCATAAGTGGCAATCTCACAGACTTTGTGGAGTTCCATCGACTATCTTGATCGTTACTCGTATTAACTTCAGGCTTGGATGCTATTTCAAATGCAGGGTGACAAGGCTACGGTTCTAGGCGATGCAATTGAGCACATGAGGGATTTGCAGAGGAGAGTGAAGGAGAGTGAATCCACAACCACCTCGTCGGCATCGGACGACGGGCAAAATCCCAGAAGTTTGGAAAGGAGTTCCAGTCTGACGACGAGTTTGGTGCAAGGGGTGAATCACGTCAACCTCAGGAGAGACTACGGCCACCGAGGCATCCGTCAACAGCAGTATGGTAGAAGCGGTGGAGGCGATAATGCTCCTCTCTTGAAGCTATCGGACGTATGCCTCGATACCAATGAGGAGCTCGATGGTGTGGTGCTGGCAGTTCTAGATGATATACCACAAATTGAAGTGCGAATGATGGAAAACGAGCGCGTGATGATCAAACTCAGCTCCAAAGACCGACCCAACCTCTTCACGGACATCATGTTTGCTCTGCAGGATCTGCATTTGCAAGTGCAGCACGCCAATATCCGTACGGTAGCCGGAATGGTGCATGACGTCTTTGCAGCCAAGGTGCGTGGTTGAGGCCCATAATCAATCTCTATATCGACTCCGTTAGTCCTAATCCTATACGATTTCTTATTAAGAAGGTGGTGACTTCATAAGCGCAGCATTTGATTGAAGTTGATTTGGTGCTTCTGATTGCCCTTCAACTGCCCTACCCTTTGCCACCAGAATAAGAACTTGTTCAAGTCTAGAAGATCTGAGGCAAAGAAGGTCGGAGTCGAAGGGTGTCTGATGGTTAATCATGCTGTGGGCACTTTGGTTTTGGGGCTGGTTCAGGTGGATGTGGCGCTATTAGAGAAGCAGTCGACGCACACCATAGCAGAGGCAATAAGGCGAGCCATCGAAAGAGGCAATTCTCCGAATTCGTGCTCACCGAATCCTGCGACTCCGGATGCCAACCCGAACGTCAACTCTCCTCGAAAGCGGTCTCTACAACTGACTTGACGGCCGGACCTTGCGTGTCTGTCTCACCGGAACATGCCTGTATCCACTGTGTAGTCAAATCCACTAACATAACAATTCACATGTGCAGAAGACCAGTCGGCGGTTCATTCTTGAAGAAAACCGCAACATTCTGGCTGGAGTTGGAAAGCTTGGCATCGGATCAGCAGCTCACGTCACCTCCATCTTCAACGCATGGTTTCTGTGTGTATAGAGAGGAGTGAGCTAGCAGCTGAGGAGCCGAGGAGTCATGAGATCAATTTGAAAGGTCGAATGTCTGATTCGATTCTCCACTTAAGACCTAGTAGCTGTTTGGAGCAAGGGTCTTTTGCGAGCACCCGTCTCCAGTGAGAAGCTGCCATGGCTTCCTTGAGCAACATTACTTTCTCACGAGAAGACCATGTGTATGAAATTGGAAGTCCAGCATCATAATCCTGTATCTTCATCATCAAAGTTACGTTAGTTGATCTTCTGGAAAACAACAATAGAAAGTTCTACTTTAAGTACACTCTGTTTGTGACTAGACTATGCTCAGGATGTGCCAGACCTAGTTTTCCACTTGCTTGTTCATCTCCCCCCCTACCCCACCCCACCCCAACCTCGGCTTCTTCTTCAGGCAGGAGAAGCTCGGAGCTTCTTCGGAACAAGCTTCTCTTTCTTCCCTGAGTTCTAGTTTATCTAAGATTAGATGGAGAGACCTCCGAGTTTCGTCTATTGCAGATGATGGCTGTCGCAGCAAGCATCCACCCGATGCGTGATTAGATTGCGAAGCCTTGCGAACTGGCCCGACTTGTGTACGAGATAACTTTGAGATTATTTGTAGAACTTCATCATCATCATCATCACCATGTAACTATCGTCCGGGATGAGAGCAAAGTATGTGACGTGTTGTAATGCTTTGCTTTGCCACTAGATGTTACAGTAGTGTCACATTGTAGCATTTGCGGAGGCCTCTTGTACATAACTGGAGCCGCTCATGACTACACCCAAGGGCTTTCATGCCAGAAGCCGAAGCTGATGTTGAGACTCCTGGTGCGGATTGCCACATCCATCAGTGCCTAGGAATGACGTAAAACATATACTCATGTGTAGCTGATTAGACGTAGGAGAGAGACTAGAGGCGGACCCTTCTGCGCGAGGGACAAAGGAGACGAACCGCATTGCTTAGACAGAAACATGAAATGTCACCGACTTGGCAAACTTAACAACTTTCCAAATTTCTCCCATGTCTCCAGCCATGCTTGAGTTCTTCGAACTTCTTCCTTGTATTCTCGACAGAACACGTCTACTCCAACATGTCGTAGACGCACTGGCTTTCAACATGCACGTGTTGTTGTTGCCTTCACAACGTCCTCATACCAAATTAGACGAGTACGGCGACCTGGAGTAAGCTTCACGTTGGAATTGCGAAATTGCGAAATTCCGAGTGATACCCCTCATTCGACCCTCCAGCCGCGCGGTACATGTCGTTACGATATCTTTGCTTTGTGCTTTTCACGGTATGGGTATGATGGTGATTATGTTTTCAGTTCCAAAACAAGCTGGAAGTGCTGAATGACAATGTCACTCATTTCTAAAAAGCATGCACAAAGTTATTTGCAAACTGAAGGGGCCAAAAGAAACCGACACAAATCAGTAGTTTTGCACTCCATGTGAGCTACGTAAAACACTAGAGAAAGTGAATCCTTGCTACCAAGTATTATTCTCTCTTATTCAATCTCCCCAACACTTTTCTTCGCTATCAGTAATGCGAGAGGAACAAATGTGTAGCATATTTGCATACCCCTTTAGTTGGAGACATTGGTTCTTGCTCTAGCATTCCCCTTCATCAAGGAAGATGGATAATCATCCTCTCATATCATGTCACGTGTAGTACTGATAATGATCGTGCTTATAAAATTAACTTCTTCTCCCGAAGCAAGTGTAGTCATAACTTTAGCAACACTACCTTGATGATGTGAGATATTCATGCTCGCTTGCCATCGCTAATAATTTTCTGATTATTTATACTATGTATTCTAAATGAGCATTGATTGAGTGATGTCACATGAACAATGAAGACATTGATGAATGCATTAATCGAAAACTGAACTTCATATCGTGAAATATTAAAAACTCTTTTTTGTCAAAATCCTACATGATTCATATTACGAACAGGTCTGAATGTTCGGATCTTCAAGGAGTGATTGGAAAGCAAATAATCATCTAGTATATGAAAAGGTTGCACAACTCTAGTCTGATACGAATGTTACATGAAAACATCCACCCTACGTGGCTTTCAATGTAAGATTGCCTCAAAATGAAATATTCATGTATCCGCATCATCCATATATATGTGAAGAACAAGACTAGCTACAATCATAAAACAATAGGACATTAAAGATGTTGGTATAAAAAGATTAAAAAAAAAATTTAAAATATGTTTTTACTTATAAAAAATAATGTCACTATTCCATATGAAATAAGCAAAGACCCCTGTTCTAGTTTAGGTTCCCAATCACACTCAATGTGATTTGCTTCAAAATTTTCATATTAAACAATCATGCACTTAGTTTCAAATCTAACTTCACAACAAGTGAAAAATAAATTGAATGATCAACAAGTAGCATTCTGGAAGACTACATCAAATAAAACTTTAATATATATATCAAATATCATGCCTCATAAAATTTGGCATTCTATTTTTAGATGCCAAAAATAAAAACTCAAAGTTGGAAAAATTAAATGGTTGTCTTTATTTTTAAGTTTATGACTTTTTGAGGCTATCCGCGATTCAATAGTCACAATAGCCGATAGCTGATGTTCAATGGTTGCCTTTGTGTCCATAATAGTGCGGGCGGCATAGGATGTTTGTTCAGTTTCAACGACCAACCTATCATTTTTGGATATCATGAGTCTCCAGATCCCTTTCAGGAGAAGCATAAAGTCAAATTTGAGCTCAGTACTTTCAATTTGAGCCAAATGGAACCATTACAGGAGTCCAATGCATGTTCAACCTGTCATGTTTGGGTATCATGAATCCTCAAACTCCCTTTAAAAAGAAGTATATAATCAAATTCGGCCTCAGTTCCGTTCAACATGTCGCGAAGGCATTTGATTAGCATGACAAAAACACAATGATGTGGGACGTTGTTAAGGGACGATTCAGTGGTCTTCGCCGGCTTTGTGGTGGATTGGCGGCAGCGCTTTCCAACACGGCGGCTGTTGAAAGCAAGTTTTTGATGATCAAGTGGGAAAAAAACTATACTCGCACAAGCCCAACCAATCTGACGCTAGCTGGTATCATGCGGACAAAGCAATTCAAGCTCTTAAAGAACCTTTTTCCAACGGAAACCATTGAAATTCACTTTCTGACACAAAATACACACAATGCCAATTTTGCCATAATTATCCAAAGAAAGTTGCCAAATTTAAGTTCATTTTGGCAAATTTGACATTTGCCACAAACTATGAGGCTTGTTATATGTATATATATGTTCTTTTTCATTTCATCGTTAAGATAATATGAATATATATGATCAAACTTATACAAAAATTCTATTCTGAATTAAATCATTTTTTTAATAATTATATCGTATTCATGACATAAATAATCTAAAATTGTGAATTCAATCACACAAATATTATTTACACCACTCTAATGATACCTGAAATTGTGTTGTGCACACATGTATAGTCAATCAAAGTTAAATATGCAAGTAAAAAACTCGATCAGTGTCAAAAGTGTGCATTCATGACGTACAACAGTCATACAAACATCAATACATGACAAAAAATAATATGTGTGAACATTTTAATTTAAAAAAATACCAATTTGCTGTATTTTCTCCTCTTGAACTTGAATTTAAATCAATTGCTTTAATTAGGTTAATAGATGAGTATTTTTAAAAAAAAATTATTTAACTCTCGATATTTTTTGAACTGAAATCAATTGGATGATGTTAAATATCCATGAACAAAATTGCATGAAATATTGCAATTTAGAGTAAGGCTCAATGATAAGGTTGAAAGTTAGTGAAGCTTTTAAATAGTTAATAACATAAAAGAATAAATAAATTTTTAAATTGAATCTACAGCTTCATTGATAAAATATATAAAATTAACAAATGATCATAAATTGCACATAAAATAAAATTGTGAATCATTATTATTTTTTTACCAACAATTAATCATGATTGTTGTAATTTTTAGTGTGAATTTTTGATTTGTTTGTAATGTCATCCAATGGAGTATTATCAAAAAAAATAAAATTAATACAAATAAAATTAATGATATATATGTACAGTCAATAAAATATTATTTGCAATATATTAAACTCCTTGTATGGAGTGAAGTGAATTTTTTGAAACAATGTGGTGCTTTGATGATATATTAAGTATTCAGACGGAGTATGTTTAATATTTATGTATACATGAAAAAAAATTTAAAATGAAAATTTTTGATTCATTATTTCTTAATATATATTATTCATATTTTGCCATTAAACACATATCAGGAATTGATCAATTTGAAAAATTCTTCCATTCTAGGTTTAGCAATAAAAGTATTAGTGTATCAAAGAGTATGTTTCACATGAAAATTCACAAATACTTGAGGCAATCAAAATAAGGTTATTTTAAGTCAAATACTCTACAATAAGTTTTGCAAGATTAAGCTCAAAGCTTCAAGGGTATGAGTTTTCTTGTAACTTATGATTTCAAATATTTTGTTGTCATAAAAATTGCTAGTTATTAACTTTGATGTTCAAATCACTAAAAAAATATTAAAATAAATAAATAATTGATATCATTTATTTATATGTATAATATATGTAACATACTTCATACTGCTCTGGCTAGAAGCATTGTAAAAGGGTCTAGAAAATATTTATATTATATCTTGAAATTTTTTGAAAAGATATGTCAACTTTTAACAAATCTATTTCATTTTTTGGTTTATTTTCTATCAGAATTTATAATGTGCTTCATAATTTAGACTGAAAAAAAAACTGATTTTCAACTAATGGTTGTAAATTTATAATTGGGCATGGATGCATAAGTTCATGATACTCATCACAAAAAAGCATAGCTCACTCTACAACAAAGCAGAGTTTGTATATGTAACGGAAGCAATATGTGTTTGAAAATAATGTGTAGAAAAATATTTTTTTCGTAAATACCATATTGATTCATGAATTGCAATCACTTATTATGATAGTTAAAATGCTTTTCATAATTTTTGAATCAAATATTTAGTAAAAAAATGAGAAAACACTTTGAGCTACTATGTATCTTTTGGCATGCTGAGTTTGATACAGTATTCGAAAAAAAAATAAAAAAATACTTTTAATCTTCCTAAATTTTTTTACTCAAAAGATATTTTTATAATATTATTTGAAAGTTTATGACACATTGCAACTATAACATATGCATAAAATTATAATAAATAAAATCTGTGTATATAAGTTTATCCATCATGTTTTGAAATCTAGGCTTAACAAAATCTAATTTTTAAAAAATTCTTTGAGACGTTGTTAAAACTTTGTATAGATAATCATACAGCTTAAAGAGTATTCATTCCAAAGCTAGCAGATCGTTGTTATTTAATAATATATTTGTGAAAAAATACTTGATGAAATCCCTGCATTACACAAAACAATATAGGGACCCAACACATGTTGTATTATTAGATGGAATCTTATCAATGGCACACCATCATCCATGTTTTAAAAGAGTATCTCGGATAGAAAGTTGGATCAAATCAAAGAATAGAATGTTTCTAATAGATGCAAATCTGCTTAGATAGAGTGCACGATGATGTTATGATTCTCTTTTTGGAATGCACTGCATGGATCCAAATTCTGATATATGACTTACAGTTGCCATCGGATTGACATGATAGAATACGAGCCTCATCGTATTCTATCATGTCTGCGCATAATGAGACTTGCGGATACTAAAATTTGGTTTTTTTCAACGTTGTTGTCTATACGAACGAAATATCAGTCTAAGTTTGAGGATCAATACACGACAAAAAGTCCATAACTTTGTCACTAAACCTCAATCTCAATTTAATATGTGGACGCAAAACATTCATTTCTAGTGTATTACAAATTTCATAGCCTTCTCTCCATAAGTCAAAACTTGAAAAGATATGCTGATCAAGTTCGTTAGAAGTGTTCTCACGGAAATACTTCAGACTCATGGCCGAAGTATTTTCGTTAGAGTACTTTGACCTCATAAAGAGATTATTTTTCTCACACTATGATTGCCAACTATATAGTTAGACAAATTTTGTTTGGAACATGGGTGACGGTGTGCTGCAGGGTTTAGTGAGGGATATCACAACTTGAAATGAATTGTAATGGATCTCAACAAGTGCATTGTTCTCATCAAGTAATTTTTTTCTTAAATAGCTTTACTTAGTTTTGAATTTGATCTATTAGACTATGAAATTTACTCTCTATACGAGTATATCATAAGTTCAATATGATAAAATGAATTTTTGCCACAGATGATATGTGTTTATTAGAAAAAGTATCATTTTAAATTCAAACACATAATTTTTTAAAGAGCCGCTAGTTATCACTCAATTTATGCTAATTATTTCACATACTACAAAAATTATATAAATTGTTTAAGAAAGTAGGTCCGTGATTAGTAAGAGGTATCTCAAGCCCATATCCAAGGGAGCGCCCTAGGAGACCAACTAGAAACAGTGCTTACTGTCAGTCATGCCATTGTTACGGCCAGTAGAATTGTTATGACACTATGATAGAATGAAGTGATATTTGCAAAGACATCTGAAACTTGCGTCAAAAGTAACGCCTTCGGATGCTTGCAGGCCGATTTTCGCTTTCTGGGTTGCTTGACAATTTAGCCGCTACTAGATCTGCCCAATATTTCACCTAAATGTACAATGAGAAGAAACTAATGCAACTACTGTGGGATGCTAATTATTCTTCACCTAGGATGAGGTATAATCAACATAGATTGAGGCATGACTAGACTTTTTCTACTTGTATTGCTTTTTAAAAAAAATTGATTGTATGTGTATTACTCCTTTAAAAAAATTATTTGATAATTTTTATTTAATTATATAAAAAAATTTAAAAAAAAACCGAGTTTATCAATACATGCATAGTTTAAAATTTTCAAATATTTTTTGATATTAAATTTAATTTTATAGCGTTTAAAAAAATCTTAATATCAATAAGAAAATTCTAGAATTCCAAAATTAGTTTCAACAAGTAAATCAAATTTCATGTCAATTCTGCAATTTTGATGTTACTACGAGGTTTATACAGTAAGTTTAAATTTTTTTCTTTGAAATTACATGAAGAAAATCATGGACTAAAATCTAAAATTCATCTTGAAACCTATGATATTAGCTTCAAAGAGTAGATTGAATTGATTTTGGAATTTTGAAATAGAGTTCATCAGTTTCAACGCAATTACATTGAAGTCTTTGTAACCCTTTTTTCTTTTCTTTGACCCAAACCGGATGAACTGTTTTGATAATGTTGGTTTTATTTACAGTGAAATACTCAATCTATAAAGAAGGCGAGGCTCATCCAGGTGGTTTTCTTCTGGTAATTATAATGTGAACCAGAAACATCAGACACGCCCAACTAGGTAAGGAGTATTTCTATACGTGGACACTAAACATATCAAAAGATATGTTTAGTGACAACATGATGATATGAACTTAGTTTAGATCACAATGAAATTAGATCAAGTATAATATAAAAGAAATAATAGCTCATTGGACTTTTGCTTGAATGGTTGACTGTAGTGCTAGAGGAGTGCTGAATATAAATGAGCCTGACAAGTCTACCCGCATTCGCAAAGTCTTGAGATTTGGTTCAACAAATAAAACAAACCATGTGCTGCAACTATTAAATGATACGCTAACACATAGTTTCAACGTTAATATGCATGAAACATGAAGGAGATAGGAATAACCCAATAAAAATTGGTCGGTGCAAAGGGAAGAATATGTTAAGAGTATGAAAGAATAAGAGCGGCTAAAACAAAATATTACTACACTATTTCCAATTGTACATGACTAACTATCATATGTAGCCGAAGTTTTCTTGAAACTTCTTCGAAAATTAAGTTATAAGGAATTTTTAAAATAGTATCTTGTGAACCTATAATAATATGATGTATAATGATATGAATCCAGAATGAGTCTTTATGACACCAGAGATACTCAAACCAATTCGTATTATTTTGGCTGCAGCTTAGTTCCTATACTAGCAATCTAAAGAATTATACGAAATGCGCAGCCGCCGAAACAGAAAATTTCATTTTCTCAGCTGCTCTTGGAAGCAGTTTAGCTGCAAGTTGAGGTCAACTTATGTATGACGAAGTAAATAACTAGAAGCTGTTTGGTCAATTTGTATATAACAAATAACTCTTCTTTAAGTTGAAGATCCAGTAAAATCTGTTATGGTGAACATTGGATTCTTCTTGCTGTGTACGTGGCGGAGACTCACCCCAATATCTACAAATTGACAAACTGAAAGTGAAACCACGGTCCCACTGCTGTTATGCAGCACTAGTGACTAGTCGTGCTGGGGTCAACGATAAACCTCCATTTGATAAAGTCAACTTTAAGTATATCAAAGAGGTAATGACTTCTCCCGAGTGTAATTCCCCGTCCCTTGTACTCGACGTCCTGCCTAAAAGACTTCAGAACCTGAGCCGTAAATTCGGTGAGTTTTGCGACCCTTTGTGAGACAAAAATTATGAAATTAGACAAAAACTCACTCCGTACACCCTGATACAGTCTCATCATATGAGGGAGGATCTAAAGAACTCGGAAGATGATGATTTCTGTCTATCGACCAGCGCCTAATTGACATGACGTGCAAGCCTCATTTCAAGGACTCACAGCGAGCCAGCCAGGAGACAGCCCCTTAAATAGCCCTGTACCACCACCTGTCCATACAAAGTACGAAACCTCACGGCAGAAACGTCAAAGTGTCCGCCTTTTAGAGAACTGAGATAACACATCGACAAGGAGATACCCAAACTCACTTTCGAATAAAAAGTTCTGCCACCAGTTGGAAAGGCACCATCCCCGCAGAACAAGAATTCCAGATCACAAGGAAGCTGGAGCATCGGGTTAGAGCATATTAGACAACTCCTGGTCCATGCCAGGCCTCGACTTCGGTTGCGCTCATGCGCAGTCAGGCATCAAACTTACGCCGCTGGACTTGGTACCTTCATCGAGCACCAACCACGTCGCAACCAAATCATTCAGCTGCTGACAGACTACGTAACTGTTACATCATCATTCTCCAACGATGGCACCCCTCGAATCGTTCCAGTAGAGGGAAACTGTGACAACAATCTTACGGTGATGGGAATAATCGTGAAGCTGTTTGACTTCTACCGGAGCGTGTTGAGAATCGTTCGTTGACATTGCAGAGGGCTTCGCGGAATGTATTACCAAGTCGAAGGTCACTGGACTCCGGAGTGAGTCGTGGCTGGGAGTATGCGCATGTAGGCGAGCATAAGTACAAAGTGAGTCGGAAGTTTTGCGTCACGGGCTCAGGAAACGATCGCAAAGGTACTGTACCTCGGACCGCCAGCGATCCCAGCACGATCGCAGCACCGAAGGAGGAGGATGTGACCTGCAAGAGCGGCAATCGCTGCTGAAGTCTCGGTCATCCTTCACGTGCTTCGAGGCAAGTACCGGGGGTACCCCGATGGATGGCTCGGATGACCTCCGAGCCTTGAAAAGTATATATTACGAGCTCCCGATGTATGATCTCGAATTCAAACAACTCGTGCTCGCACTCGCCTGCAGAATCGATCTAGACGGACTTTGCTAGGCAGGAAGGAGCTTGTCAGCTCCCCTTGCTCGGCGGGTGGGCACATCAAACTTCTCTCGCAACTTTTCTGCTTTGCTTGCCTTGGATCCACCGTACACTCAAAAGAGGCGAGGACCTCGGCAAAAGGTCTACTAGATGCATTTATTCAACTCAGAATTGGGGATACATTTTGACACCGTGTCTGTCTGTGATCCGCAGACGAAGGATCTAGGAGAAAGCTCGCGAGTGTCTTTTTAGAAGAACGTTCACAATGGCACCATCATGGGCAGCGATCTGCCTTATTCTTTGCGTATCTGCACGAATGGCCTTGGCTCAAGACGTAAAAACGTACAAAGTGGGTGACAGCGCTGGGTGGACATACATCAACGCCTCGAGTGGACTGCCCGCAGACTACAAAGCTTGGGCCGCGCAGTACCAGTTTTTCGTCAATGATATTATCAGTATGTGAACGAGACGGTTTTTAATCATGCTTCTGGCTTCATTACTATATCGCTCGGTGATGGGATCTGGTTACGCCCCTGGAAATGTGAGGTTCACAATCAACTGCAACCGGAACACTGATTTCGTTCCTCGTGCAGGATTTGCCTACGAACCCTTGAAGCAGAATATCTACCTCTTCAACAGCTCGGAGTCGTGGACGAGCTGCGACATGACCGTCGGCAAGATGCTCGACGACGGTACCTCTGGATTCTCCGAGGTGACAATTTGACGATCCCTGATTGATTGTGAATTATTCTCTTTTTTCTAGGTGCTGTATGTTAAGTGACTTTGGGATAGCATCATGTTGACGAAGCTAGTCGCTGTAATGCTCAGTGGTACTTGCCCCTCGAGGGATACTACAACTTCGCGAGCGGCATTGACTGCGACAAGGGCATGAAATTCAGGATCTTCGCCGTCAAGTCTGCAGGCACTGGTCCAGGTATGGAGCTATAGTCATTTCAGAAGAATGCTTGTATCCTGATTTACTCAATCCCGTCGTTCGTCCATTCTGGTCCATCTCCCAAATTCTTTTTTATTTGGGTTATAAAGTCGATGCAATTGTAAAGCCCTCGGGTAGAAAGAATACTGCAAAAAATCTCAAGTATATTATCAGAACTTCTCTATACCTCAATCTTCCTGAATGAGTAAAGTCTGTGTCCCCTCCGTGAAGGCTTGGACATAGTGCGTGCCGCCCTGTACTCGAGGACTTGGAATCACAATTCAGATCGCGAGTTTTCTCCATATAACTCAGCCCGTGCATTCTTGTCATTCGATTTGTTCTGTATATTAGCGAAATAAGGCACGGGACCCTGAGACTGATTTGCTCGAGAATGTTACGGGAATGCGAGAAGTGAGTGAAAACGAAATGTCACATGAGAATCTCTCGCTTGTTTCCGTGCAGTTGACGCCCCCATCCCTGCACCATCGCCATCAAAGCTAGCACCAGGACCTAGCAAGCTGGCGCCCGCACCTTCGATGACCCCAGCCACTTCGCCGGGACCTTCGGTGGCCGCCGCCCCGACTTTGCTAACAATGACGGACTCTCGAGTCGTCTCCAGGGGCCCTGCTCTTGCTCCTGCTCTTGCCCCGACTGCCTCCAGATCTGCCCCAGCTGTCTGGACCCAATCATTGTTTCTCGCCTCGACAGGTGCTGCTGTAGCAGCAGCATTACTATTGAGGCTGTAGGCTCGCCGCTGGAAGACGACGACGACGCACAGCTGCTCGCTCCCCTTCTCTCTCACTCACTCGAGCACTTCTCAGTCAAGTCGAACATGGGAAGTGTCTCGGAACCACATACTGTAGATTGGAATGCACACCTTAACCCTCCCTAAAACCACTCCACCAGCTGCGGCCTACGGAACATGGCCACAAACAGGACATCATCATGGGTACGATCCCTGTCCGGTCAAGAAGCAAAGATCTCGTGGAGATTCCGCAGAGGTGGCAGTATAGCAGCAGCCCTCCCCGTGCCTCCAGCAGCTTCGGGACAGGTCATGCACCGCGGCGATTATTGACGCTGCGATTCTTCACCAGTGCCGGCATGTTGAGATCATGGAGAGGTTGGCCACAACCCGGAGGAGGAATTAGAAGCTTTGAGTTCTATTTACTAGACAACTAATTGAATATCGATTTCGAAAGCCACCATACAGTCAGTCAACGATCATAGCTGGCCCAACAGTTGTAGATGAATGCCAACAAGTGTAGAGGATGTAATCAGTCCGAGCTGGGATCCGTCAGAGCAAGCTCTCTCTCGTCACACGAGCTGGATCTGTCTGTCTAGACCTCTACCTAAGTAAGACAATTCCGCACAGTAGAAAGCGAATTTGTAACATCTGGACCGAAACATTGCACCTTCACGGTAACGCCGTAGGTGCTCTACATGAACTATTCTTGTGGATTCAATGACAATAAATGGAAGTTCTCGCAGCTTCATTGGCAATATGAATACTGTAACCCGGACATATGTCAAGTCTTAGATTTGTGTTTCTTCGGTGACAGTTTCTAAGCTTTACTGAAAGGTCGCTCGAAACAAAGGAACGAACTCGTTTCACGTGTATCAATCAGTTGCCATAGACTATCGAAAGATACTGGCTCTGTGAATGTAGTCAAGAGCTTTATCAGCGGAATACGAGAAGCGATGAGAATTCAATTTCTGCGGAGAACATTCTAAATCAGATCATGATTTCCCCCAGTTTGAACAATTACACTAATCTTTTAAACCTCATACCGCGTTTTCATTGTAGACTGTCCTCTTAATATTCTTGTTCAACTGGCGTGAATGTATGTATATCCCCAGTAATATAATATCCCAGTAAATATAAAGCAGCAGTGCTGCTTTGAGTGGAAGTTTGGCGAAGCTTTCATCAATTATTGGTGGATCACGCGTATAATTTGAGCGAGAACTTGAGAACTAAACTGTGAATATTTATATTCCACTTGTCACCTGAATCTATTTGATCGAACATGAAGAAATTTGAGGTTCATTCAACTAAGGCTGATTCAACTAAATTTAATGTTCATGGATCATTCAACTAATGCAAAATGAACTCGGAGAATTGATTCCACTTGTCACCTGAATCGATTCTCCAAGTTCATTTTGCCTTAGTAGATTCTTGAACTTTGTTAACAATTTACAGCAGGAACTCGCTCATGCACTCAGTTGTCAAAGCCTCGATCCAGAAATCATTCTGCTCTGCAAAATGGTATCGGGATTGACACATTGAAAACTATCTCAGTACGTCAAAACACCTCTCAAGAGCGTCTTTGGTCCGGAGAGAATTAACACAACAATCCATGCATGGCCTCGATCTCAACTGCTACTAGGCGACGAGACGAGCTCAAAGGTTTTAGGCTGAAGAATCTCAGTCTAAGGAGATATTGGATATGGTGGAGTGTCCAAAACGCGACGGAAGTCTCGCAAGGTGGCGAGCGAGCTCTGTGGGATTCAAGTAAAACCGCCCGTACAATGTACAGCCTGACAGATGCTAGCTTCTGTGAAATTGAATTAGTTGTTGTGTTGCTGATGAGGTTCCAAACCGTCGCCCGACGGTCATCACGGATGTCGTAGACCTCGGACATGTTTCGCACCTGACTCAAGTTCCAAGAGCGTGAAATATATTTTAAGACTGCGGGAAGTGGAAGGTGCAGACAGTTGAAACACCGATACACTGGCAGGGCTTGATTTTGCGAGAGGCTGAAGGACTCCCTCCCGTTGTTGGTGCCAGAAGGACGTGGTTCCCGATGGATCTGACTTAGACATTCACATCTTCAGGAGACGGGATGCTTGCTAATGGCGGCGAAGTTGGCTGTACTCCCAAGGTACCAAATGGCCAATGCCGCAGCTGGTTCTCAGGCTTCCAAGCAGCAGCGCCCCCAGCAGAAGGGCCAGGACACAAGACGAGACGAATCGTTGCGGCGAAGTGGAAATAAGATCGAACCCCAGATCGACCTGGGAACAGGTCCGGGCTACAGCAGCATGGCACCTGGAATGAATCCGTGCAGCTGCCATGTCGAGCTAGAGCCATTTTCGGTGACCCACGGGGCCTTTCCTTCGCCGAGGGCACGACCCCGACTTTCCATGAATTGTGCTCTACCTCTAGAAGAGCGCGGAACGTAGCTCGCACTGTCGCGAGGCGAGCGAAAGGAGCGTAGAGAAAAGTTTCCGGCCTCCTTGTTTCAGCGCACTTCGCGCACGAGTTTCTGCCAACAGTAGCCTGGGCTGGCCCCGATTCCACTCTCGTGAATGGGTACAGACCGATTCTGCGAGCGTTCGTGAGGGAATTATTCACCTGGGTACCCAAAGTTTGAAGGCTCTGAGAAGCCAATTCACGGTTGAGTACAATGAGAACCTCCCGCCTCGGAAATCGTGCGAGCTTCATTTGAGGGTCGAAATAAGCGGCTACTTATGAGACGCAAAAGGATTGAGAAAGCGAGCTCTCGTCGGTGAGCCGGCATGCCGGGTAAGGAGACGGCACGTTCGACGTGCGAAACGCAAGGGACCCACCGGACTCGCACACATGTGGGAGCGGGCTCTCGACCTTCGTGCATTACGAGACATGCCTGGCCGCCACAAGACCCGGTTGGACTGTGTGCGGGCACGGATGAGAATTATGCATTCGAATGCGCGAGTATTAATGGGAGAGTCTTGCCGGTTGAGAGCTCCCAACAAGTTTTTCTGCGATCCAGCACCTGTTGATCCATCCTTCCTTCCTTCTGATCAGACTAAGACTAAGACTCTGAACTTCTACGATCTCGAGCAACTCCACGATGCAGATTCTCAGCTAGCTGCTCCGTTACCATCTTCCCATTTCTTACAGCTCCAGCTCCCTCTGGTACATCGTCCAGCGAAGGCAAACATTTAACAGTCATGGCGATGGCCACGCGATTCAGCCTTCTCTGCCTCGCTCTCTGCCTCGCCGTTCAGACCACTCGGGCCGAAAAGTACTTCGTAGGTGACGACCTCGGATGGACATTCACCAATGACTCGAGTGGTCTGCCGGTGGATTACACAGCGTGGGCTTCCAAATACACTTTCTTCAAGGATGATGTTCTAGGTACGCCTCTCTCTCTCTCTCTCTCTCTCTCTCTCTCTCTCTCTGTGTGTGTGTCTCTCTCTCTCTCTCTCTCTCTCTCTCTCTCTCTCTCTCTCTCTCTCTCTCTCTCTCTCTCTCTCTCTCTCTCTCTCTCTCTCTCTCTCTCTCTCTCTCTCTCTCTCTCTCTCTGTCTCTCTCTGTGTGTGTGTGTGTGTGTGTGGAGGCATTGAAAAGTCAGTAGCCTATGCGTTGACATACATCCTCAGATAGATCGAAATGATCAACAGGGTCTTTGCAGTTTCTATCGACTTCTGAGAAATTTCTTTCCTCGGTCCAATTATTCTTGCAGTCTTCAACTACTCGGCCACCCAGCAGAATATCTACACCTTCGATACGTACGACGGTTGGCAGAACTGCAACTTTTCCAAGGGTTTCATGCTCGACAATGGAAATAATGGAACTTCTGAGGTATATACTAAGCGACTTTTGCAATGATGGAGGCCGGCTGAAATACATTTCTGATTTGCAGAATGCATGAATCCAACTTTGGAAGAAACGTTGACGTTCTAAAAGATCGCACTTTCTCGGTGTGCAGTGGATCTTGACTGCGGAGGGCCACTACGAGTTTGCCAGCGCTATGTTTTGCCATCAAGGGCAGAAATTCAGTATTTACGCAGTCGACCCCCAGCTTCTTATCACTCAAGTAACATCAGGTAAGACTCCTCTGCTTGCAGTCGTGACTCCTTCCCCACGGCCCCGACAGTCTATTTGATCCAGTGTTTATGTCGCCCGTCATACTGAGATGGGTGCCGGTGTCTGCTTTCCCATACAAGCTGGCAACTAGCTCCGTACTAAAGTTCTGATGTGATCAACACACAGCAGCAATACAGCCCAATTTGTGAAATGGTAAATAAACTGTCCAATCTTCCTGATTCATCTGAACGAATATCTGTAAGAGCGCTCTACTGAAGAGAGCTCTTGGAAATGTTCTTTTCATATCCACAGCGAGATAAGAATGAACGAGAAAGAAACTCAGGTTACGAGATCTTAGCGTGTACTTTTCTAGGATCTCTAATTAGCGAGGTATTCGTGGGACCTAGGACATGATAACTCCGAGTGCGAATGTCGAGCTAGGGGATGTTGGAATTGTTTGTTGTTTTCAAAGTTCTCCGCTCGTGCAGTGTGCTTGGTCTGTACTGAATCTGCAAATTTTTTTCTTCTCTTTTACTTCAAGAATTGAAGGAAACTATACAATCTCGGATCCCAGCAATGTCCAGATGAAGAAACTCGATGAATTCTCTAAGAAGTTCAACTCTCTTCTGGAGGAACAGCATTGGAATCCATCGTACATGGAATAGAGCTGTATTATAGTTCTTGTAGTACGATTTGATATGCTCACGAGCTTCCGCCTCTGCATTTATGAGACTTTTGTTCTGAAGGTATTGTCGTCGTCTAGAGTGTGTTTTGATCTTTTTAGCCTTCGGTATCATGCAATGCTTAAGTTTATGAAGTTGAGATTCCTGTCATTAGTCCCAAAACCATCTTAAAGTTCATGCTCCTCTCCATTTGTTGAAGGCAAGTACATGACAGTCACAAAGGAAGTAATTTGTAGAGTATGTACCTTAAGAGTTTCAGATACCCAGCTTGCAGTTCGAGTGTTTGGAAAATTTACCTTTTCAAACAGACGACTTCCATTCTTTGTAAAAGAAACTGCCTAAGCAAGCTTAGTAGATCGAAAGAAGGGATATAATCAGCATAGTCCATACCACTGAGCTCACAGATAGTTGACTTCCTCTCGTTATGTTCGGCAGCCGGTCCGAACTGATCTTGGCTACTGATCAAGGTAAGCTCTTGATCAGGGAAGCACTCATCATTCCAGAAAACCAGTAAGAAGCAATAGGTTGCTTGTAGCTCTTGGATACAATTCGTTGATATATGTTAGTGTATAGTATTATCTACAACTTTCAAACTGGATCCTGAGATGATCACCTTGTACCTCTACGCTTCTCAGTGCAATCATTCAGTTTTATTTGGACCAGGTGCTCTTAACGTCAGCCTAGAAACCAAGACTCAATGTTTTGGAAGTACAGTATATACTTCATGAGTGTTAACAAAACCGACTTAATCCCATAAAATCTTTCTCTGTCGATTCGATTTGACACCGTTAGATTTATGAAACACTTCCAAGACCGTTCGATTCAGACCTTGAGACTTGTCAAAGAATGAGAAGTTAATAGCTGACCATAAACTTGAAGAGCGCGGAATGATGTTTACTACTGACAGGCTGCTCTCCTCGGAAGCAGTTGAGAGGATATGAGGATCCAGGTGGTCTACGTGGTCCAGGTTTCCAGACAGTTGTATGTGTGGATATGCAGTTTGAGTGAAAGATTGCTCGCCAAGAGCTGTCAGATCGTCCATGTAACATTCTTACGAAACTCTTCCACGTGAAGTTCAATGTACTGAGATGCAAATGGGTTGGGTCGTTTGTGAAACAGGTTCTACTGCTCCAGCACCAGCCCCGGCAGCAGCCATTGGACCCGCAACGGCTCCACTCAGCAGCAACTCTTCGACACCGACCCTTGCACCACCCAAGCCCGCAACCCCGGGCTTGAAACCTGCAACGCCACCGCCTCCTCCATCGGCCTCCGCGCCCGCGATCGTGACTCATGTCTTGATGATGGTTGTAGCCTGTGCCACGGTTTCGGTCATGCACTCCTTCCTTTAGACTTCAGAATTCGCAGAGCAACTTACAAGCTCAGTATCTACCTACCTGTACCTAATTTGATCCACAATTGCAGTAAAGGATTATTCTCCTCCTCCATTTTGGAAACAGGAAACTCTAGTCAACCAAACGGCATCGAATCATGGATCCCAGTGCTGTTCGTCTGTCAATTCAGGAATCACGAAGAAACCGTTTCCACGCCCGGAAGAGTTGTCGCTGACATTCTACGGGGTTACATGATTGGAAACAGATTTCTGAGTGTACGTTCTTGGTCCGATATATTTTTCACAAGACCTTACAAAACACGGGCCTCATCACGGGTCAATTGCACGAGGAATATCCCTCGCTCGAAGATTCACAGCCCTCCATTGTTTGTCACGGGATCCGACAATCTGTAGCATGACTTGTATCGACTGCGTGCCTTACGGATATGATACGTCTATATTTATCTGCCCGTTTCTTCTTCTCCAAGATACGAGGTACGCGTGTTTGCTTGATCTGGGCTTTGACAACAACATGTACGTTCGAAATTTGTGACGAAAGCATCTTCCCTCCAGGCCCGCACAGCTTTCAAGTTGGGAGTGGGAATTCGGGAGTGCCCTGTTCGAGGCCACATGGGTTGCTTCCCTTAGGAACGAGGGCTGAACTTCCAAAACCTTCATTTATAACCCCTTCAGTAGAAGCGAGAAAGACGGTCATGGCATGGCAAAAATCACAGGGAGATTACATGAAGCAGAGTCCACCAAATCAAAACACCTGGCAGAAGAGGTGGATCGCTAAATTTCCTATTCCTTCTCCTCAGCCTGGAGGTCCGAATTTTATAATGTTTTTAACCAGTAATTAAAAGCTAGAAGATTTGACAGTTATTCAGTGATGACATTTGCCAATAACGTTATGACAATATAACTTCCAAGAATTGCACTAACTTAATAGCACCACAAAATAGTTAAGATGGGTATTTTTATCCTTCTTCAGGTTACGTTAAGAGGAATCTATTTTACTGCACTGGCGGAACAAGTTACCACACCACCATTAGATTCGCGTAAAGTGACTCACATGTGTAACGCATAGACTCACTCTTCAAATATCTCTATGGTCGGGGCTAGCCACTAGTCACAAGTTGATTTTGTAACTTGTTCGGTTTCATTTGTCTTAACACCTATTTTTTATATTAATGTGATCTCTTTCCATTTCTCTTGAAAGGTAGTTCTTTTGTGGGAAGAGTAGATTGAGCCTTGTTGTGTATGTGATTTGTTGCATATTTTTCAGGTCCCATCCGTATAACCTTTTTCCAGATCAGTAAATCATATATATATTTACAAATAAAATAGTAGTGCACGTTACCTGATGGTCAAGTATCTACTACTTTATCTTAGACTTTGGATAACAAAAGCTTGGAAATTTCAAGTACCAACATACACATAAATTTAACATATGCAGTTACGTCTGTTGAACATAATTTGTTGATTTGTTGATTTGTTGATTTGTTGAAAAAAAAATTAGAGAAGAGAGACAGAGAGAGAGTGAGTGAGAGTATGTGTGTGTATTCACACACTCACTGAACAGAGCATACATACGTATATCAAGTAACAAAACTCAATAATAAAACTAATGTTGACAATGAAAAGTTTAAATATTTATATATATCATTCATTGAATACACCAAATTAAATTGAAACATAAAATCTACTAAATAATTTTTATAATATTTTTAAAAAAATCCAGACATGTAATGTACATTTTCAATATTTTGTAAAATAATTGTTATAAAATATGCTATTATAAATTTTGTATATATATTATTTGGAAATCTAGTACTTTGGAAGCAAAGCCTTTATAAAATGAAAAGAGACAGGATGACGAATATCTTATGTATGTAAATTTCACTTTGGACCCTGGTTAGAAAATTTAATGTATTTCAAAAAAAAATTTGATAGATGATAAAAATGAGATTTAAGTCATCTGTTTTTTCAGAAGTATAAAATTTTATAGATAATAAATTTATTCGAATCACTCGCTAATATCTTGAATTTAATCTTAATAATTTTCAGCAATATTGTTTCATTTTCTTGAATGTAACGAATCATCATAATGCCATTTGGATATATCTTTATATTTGCACAACTTGTAAATAGAATCAAAAGTTTCGAAAATTGGATATTGAAGAATATGCTGTCAAAGAAAATGTGAATCGTTATTCTAGTACAATATACTTTTTAATCGCCATTACAAAGAATTTTTTGAACAACATACAATTAATAGATAAACGTAGATTGACATTGTTTGTGAGCTAACGTTTTAGCATGTAGATCTTTTAGAAAGATACTTTAATGTTGGAGTATATCAAATGATTTATACATCAAGATGACAGATGATTTGAGATATTTTGACATTTTGGTTTATGTGCTTCATTCCACCGCATGTACCTGAGAACTTATTTCTGGTAGATAGACTTACTTTTGTTTCTAAATTTTCTCTAGCTCTGACTTTGGTTCTACTCCTCGTTGTCTAATATATCTCAAATTAAGATTCATTCCACTTGATATTAGCCTAATCGAATTTCAAGTGACACGACTTTTAGCATATAAAAAAGAACGAGGAAACTGACAGAAGTTCTAGCGATTTACGGATTCATGCTGAATAGTTTTGGTTATTAGTAATCTTCTACACTTAATTGTCCCGTTGAGATAGATTTAAAGACATTATTTATCTTTCTACGGCTCCTATGAATCGATTAAAGTGAAATGGACTCCTCTTGCTATTACAAAGTCAACATTCAGATGGTGAACATCACCTACTGTGCAACAGAATTGTTACAGTACCATATCACAGCGAATAGTGCGAGTGTATATGGGAATTATTCTCCGGTTTATTAACTGCCAAAACAGAGTCCTAGACTTGTCTAACTGGAAATAAATAAATAAATAAATAAATATATAGTCCCCACTATATCCCAAAATAAAAATTTATTTTTTAGTCTACTTTTAAAAAATATTTCTTTATATGGATTTATAAATGTTGAAATCTGTGTACGTGGGGTGGGATGATAAAAGAACGAATTTTCAGGTAGGTTTATATGTCGGGTAGTGTTAACTGTCTATTCTTTACTTACCCTTGTTTTCGGAATTTTTGGCCCTATTTTTCCCTTTGATGAATTTTCTATCAAATGTATGTCCTCAACTTTTCTAAATTTTCCCCGATAAAAGTCAGTGTCTGTTTGAGAAAATATTCGTGATTTACTTTTCTACTTCTAACTTCCGGAGAAATCTTATCCCGAAAGAACATTTAAGAACAAATATTTCGCCCGGAGTCTTTTGGCTCCACCTCTCCACAGCCGACCTGGGAACCGGTTCCCGAGTTCATCATTCGCTCGCGGCATCCCCCAAAGTGAACCATATCCGGAGACCTGACCACAGGCCTGGCTCGAACCACTAGAAGGTTTGAACTCTGCCGGACGAGCGGGTCAAATAAAGAGGTTTGGTCCTCGAGCACAGGCCTTGTCGTTAGTGCTTGGTCTAGAGAAGACAACTCCTGGTAAGTACTGTAATCATTGGATGCAAACACGTAGTCCTCCGCCAAAGTAACCGGGAAATTAGGGATTGGCCTTGCAAATAGGGCAAGGACAAGGTTGTCGGCAGTCGATTTAGTTTAGCGGCTGATGCCACATTCGACGATGCACTCCTCTAGTTTCGCGCACTCCGTCTAATCAGCCTTCTGAGGAGGACGATGTTGCGCCTCCACCTAAATATATCCAAAAGGATTCCTCCTCAAAGTTTGACGAAAGTTTTTGAGAAAGTCGTCGTCGTCGACAAGAGTTTCCAAGTTGAGGTGTTCCAGTTTGACCGACGATTCCAAATCGAGATCATTGAATGTGCGTGGGGATCCAGTGGAGAGACATATAAATACCTGACCAGCATAAGTTCACTGTCAGAGTTTTTACCCCATTCACAATGAGTCGGGAGAATGAATAAGACCATCAGCATGAGTGAATCGGGTTTAGATGTCGCCTCAGCTTATACAAGTCATTGAGAACTTTGTATTGACGAATACGCCGAGCCATGGATGTTATGGGCATTATATATTGAGACTCGAGGGTGCAGCATTTCCTCTGGAGCTAGAGAGAAATAGAAGAAGTAGGATTGTCCCAACTAAGAGAAGGTCAAACAGAATATTGATTCGATCCTCCATAACCTCCACAGATCGTCGTATTGGATGTGTGCATTCTTAGGAGCTGGTACGTCGAGAAGGCCAGCTTCCAGTGAAATGAATGGGGAGGAGCGAGAATCACGACGAATTTGCTTGCGCACTTAAGATCAGACCTTGCGACTTCCGGCACGTCTCCAGAGTAGTTCGACCGTTGTTGTGTCACATGGTGGCCTGGCGAAGCTGCACGACTTTGGAGGCGACGACAAGAGAAGGGGACGGGAGTGATGAAGAGAGTCAAGGGCCAGTGAGAGACCAGCCAGCAGAGGAGTAAGTGAGCGAATCCGTCTGAAGCTAATCATGGAAAAAACTGTAAAGAGGCACTAGTAATCAGCTCATCATGGCGGGGTAGCGAACAACGCAAGCAGTGCGAGGACTGGTAACTAGAGAGAGAACCAACCAGAACGAGTACGAACGCCTTAACTTGTCATTAACCTTCGGCTGATCATGCCGTAAGCCCGATTAGAAGAACGGCAACTGCCCCTGAAGCTCTGCGCGCTCTTCCATCGCGAAACGAGCCAAGAGAGAGAATTTCGTCCTCAAGTACACATCCGAACTCGCGCCATTCCTTGCTCTGGAAGGGAGCTGGAGCACGCACGTCGCACTTACTTGGACAGAAAGGGAAAGGAAAGGGAGGGAGACTGGTCCGTACTGGCGACAGCCACAGGCGCAAGAAACAAAAGGAGAAGGAAAAGGACATATGCCAGAATCGTTGAGTCAGTCGTCCGTCAGTCAGAGGCTTTCGGTCCATGGAGGTCTCGAGAGACGAGACTGCTGCTGTGCAAGACCAGACGAGTGAGAAGCGTGTCGCAGCGTGAGCTCCCACCATAGCCAGGGCCCGCGGGGTGCGGCTGGAGTTGCCTGGGCTGGACTCGGCTCGGCTCGGCTCTGCAAGGTTTGGTGTTGACGACACGAAGGGAAGTGGACCCAACGACAGTGCAGGACACTGGCCCGCACACCTTTCGCTCTTTTCTCTTTTGTGCGCTCTCGCAGTTTCGTTTGGTTCTCTAAGCGAGGTCCATTCCCTTCGGGAGAATTTTCGCTTGCCGAGAGCTGCGCTTTTCGTCAGCTCAGAAGCTGTATATAATAGCGAAATCGATGGTGGGGGTTTTTCATGGTAACATTGGCGGTTCGAAAAGAAGCGAGGTGTGCCGCCACTAGTGCCCGCATGCGGGTAGGTCTTCCTCGTGCGGATCCGGTAACTAATCTCACATTTTGTCGGCGTTTGTATTTTATTGTTTTCTTAACGATATTCTGGCGAGAGAAAGATATTCAGCTACCGACTTCATTTTTTATGCTCGTCTCGGTCACGGGGAGTGGGAGTGGCCTGTCTGTCGGACTTGCGAGGAAGAGTGCACGATCACTGTGCCGCTGGGAATATCACATTGCGTTGCTGCCCATGCAGATCAGAGGAAAGCGATCAGCACCGAAACGTGGTTTAGGGGAAGCTGCAACGAGTGCTACTCATGGCCGGTTCAGGGCACAGGATTGCGATTTGGGCCGCTCTCTGCCTCGCTTTGTGCATCGCTGCTCCTACTGTCCGAGCTCAAGCACCGGTTTATGGGAAGACTGTGAAAGTGGGAGATTCCACTGGCTGGACGTACATCAATGCCTCGACCGGGCAGCCTGCTGATTATGAAGCATGGGCTAAACAGCAAGTTTTCTTCGTCAATGATATTCTAGGTACTTGAAATGATCGAGACGAGTTGGATGTGGGGTGTTCTTTCTCTGCTCTGACTCTGCATTCTTTTGAATTCTGTCCACATTTCACGTGTTTCTCATCCAATGTGAAAGTGCTTGAGATGATATCAGTTTCTTTCCCATTCTCGTTCGCTCTGTTCCGCAATTGCCAGCCTGTCGTAATAATCTCCTCAGGGTCGCTAGTTTATCATTAGAAGTTCATACGACCGTGTTTGAATTGAATGGTACATCCCGACAGCTGGATTGGAGTTAATGGCCTTTGCCTTATCTTAGCTTCTAGAGTTGTTAGAGGTCATCGAGGCGATCACTGCTAGCTCATTCCCATCGCTTGCACCTTGTGATAATCGAAATCCAGAGTTCAACTACGAGCCCAACAAGCAGAATCTCTACTCCTTTGACAGCTTTGAAGGATGGACGTCTTGTAACCTGAGTGCGGCTCAACTGCTCGACAACGGAACCAATGGCTTCTCTCAAGTACGTATCCCTCAGTGGGCTTTTCTTTTCCATCTTTGCCGACGGTGCAAGAAAATCAAGATTGTTGTTCTTGAGGCATGCATGCAGCTCACTTCTGTCTTGTATCCGTTGATGATGCTTTCCTTCTTTCCCGCTACTGACGGGGCTTCTCTTGGCTCGACTGTGTAGTGGTACTTGCCATTTGAAGGATACTACGATTTTGCCAGCGGTATTTACTGCTCCAAAGGTCAGAAATTCAGAATCTACGCCGTCAACGCGTCCTCCATTCCCTTCGGTGAGACCTCTACTTGTTAGCTTACCAATGTAGCTCCGATTCTTTGGTTGGGGCCAGTTATATCCCCCAATCCTATCCTCGACTATTTTTCAGCTCTCGAGCATCTCCACGTTTCCCCTTGCAATCGCTCTGTCATCTGAGGAGCAACTGCTCCTTCAGTGAGATTCTTGAGTCGCTTGAAAATCCGACTCAATTCAGTCTCGCTTCATTGACCACTTTCTTCCTTACGAAGGGAGCACTTATGCTGAAGAGAATCCTACACCGACATTTCGGGTCCAATTTCGTATATTAGGCTGCAATGGCAAATTTATTCCTTCTTGCCGGAGTCTCGTTCTCTGTGATCCGTGTTTCAGTCTTCAAGCCGGAAGACCGATAGCCGCCGGCCCTTGTGATCAGATATTTTTAAGTACAGCTGTTACGAGCCGTGACTGTGGGGAGTAAAATACTGGGAGACCTCCGGACTTGAAGTTCTCGAGGCCATCATCTTGTCTGACTGACTGTTGTTGTGTTGTGGTTTCTGAGCCCAGATTCACCTTCTATAGATGCGCCATCACCCAACTCCGGGCCGTCACCGAACATGGCTCCCGCACCTTCTTCGGGCGGGGATCTTCCGCCGGACTCGCAGTTGCCTCCTTCCATGACCGGGCCAACCGGCGCACGGGTGCCAAATCCTGCTCCACCGTCGGCCTCTGCGCCAGCCACCTGGAAACAGACATTGCTTCTCCTCTTTGTAGGTATCGCAGCGTGTGTGGCCGCAGCTGTTGTACAATAGAAGCCGACGTATTCTTCTTCGAGGTTCTCTTTCCAGGGATGATTTACAAAGCAGGCTTCTCATCCACCGAAGATCAGATTTACCACCAGATTCAGATTGTCGACCCGGGAGCCGCTGCTTTAAATTTGAGTTCTCTCAGCTACAAGCCTCGGCGTGAGCAATCGATGATGAAGGCCTGAACGCTGTCGATGCATTGTCTTGGAGAGACGGCGAGGAATGCTCTTAAATTATTTAGTACGCCGAGACTGGATTCGCAGCAGATCATCACCGCTCATGTAGATTTAAGCATACAGAAGAAACCATTGTTCCGCGTTCTCCAACCACTGCTAATTATGGTGCAAGGAATCCAGCTGAGAGAGTTTGTAGACGACAAGATTATTACTTCTTTTAGGTGGACAATGTGCGCTGGTATCATCATTGAGAATATCATCGGTGCATTCAGGTTGGCGGACAGTTGGTTGAAGTAGACAGGACAGATACTCTAGGGCAACACAGAAGCATAATTGTAAGCAGAACCTTTCCATGTTCACAGCTGGGTTCGTTTGCACAATGTTCCTTATGTACACATTAGTTCTTGCACGTCAATTCAGAATCCAATGCCCACTTCTCAATGCCTTCACCTCCGGATTCTTCGTGGTCATTTTGAAGTCCGTTTCCCTCTCTTTCTGGTCTGTGCGATACTCATGATTGCCTCATTATGAGATTGGAGGAAACAGCCACCAACTTTTGCGAGTTTTCTCAATAATTTCACTCTTGCTGATCGCTGCCTATCTTCAGTTGTATTCTTCAAGAACCGATTGTATGTTCCGAGCCCCGACGAACGGTAATATCTGTACTCCGTGTTGTCAAGTGGCAGGTTGAAACGAACAGAGATAGATGAACAGTCTGCAACGCGTATTGAGAACATAACTCTGCTAAGAAGATTCGAATTGCAAAATAGAAGGAATGCCAAAAGTTGTTCACTCTTGAGCCTCGGCTACGTACGACTATGTACTCGCAGCACCGCAGGGTGCAAGGAGGATCTCGAGAACGAGTACCTGGATTATTTCACCTGAGATGTGATTCGCGTCAGCTACAGGAGGGCCTGGTACATGTCTACAGCAACTCCGCACTTGAGCAATTGCACAGAAGCGGAAGTTTTAAAGGCCACTGTCAGCAGACAGACAGCTTTTAAGCCTGTTAAACCGTTTCTAATGAATCTGGTGATGGGTTCATAGACAACAGGACACGTTGATTAGGCACATAGCGATCAGATCCCAGGTTACCCCTCTCACACACAATGGATGTGAATCTGGAAGCTTCCACGATGTCAAAGCAGAGTTTTTGAAAACTGGACTTATGCAGATTCATACTTTCGCGGTGACGCCGTAAATTGTTTCTAGATCACTGTGCGGCAAAGAGCTGCACATGCAGAGCCTGCACCTCTGACAACACGATCTTCATAAGCCATGCCATCTTTCGATCTTTTGGAAAGGATCTCCCCCTCTTTGGAATGGCCGACCGTATCAATGAAATACGTTCTGTTAGGGTCATCTTTGCACCAGCGGAATTTTGACCTCCTGGTGCTCCCGGTAAGACAAGCCTTTACCTGCATGTCGCTCAGAGGAAGAACCATCTGGGGAGGTGGTGGCAGGCTAGAACTACACCCTCGTGGGAGTTGCAGTGACTGGAGTTCCCAAACCCAATGCAGTCCTCATCCGTATACTATCTGTCGAGCAGAGATCAGTCTGACTCACCGCCATTGTCTCCCTCTTGTGCATTAAAAAAATACTTCATGTTGATCACCCGGCAAGATAGCGAGCAGCTAGAGATAGACCCATGCCCAAGCACTTTGGAGGACGCAAGCTGTAGAAACTCTTCTCCTGCAGTCGGAAGGCACGTTCGAGGCGCTTTGTCAGAGGTGAATACAGTAGTGATCTATTGAATCCGTCGGCGGCTGTGGCTAGAGGAAATATTAATCCTGTAAAATGGGACGAGAGCTTCCTCCCATTCTGCATCATAATTTGATGAAGTCGTCTTTTGTGCCAGGGTCTCGTGTACGCCAAAACGGTGCCGAAAGAGCACAACCAGGTCATCGGCTCAGACAGCACATGCTCGAGCTCTTGTTGTAGCCCTCCTGGCTTTGTCTGCCTTTGCGCAATGGTTGTCCTCTCTGCATCAAAAATCTTAAGATGAGTATCTTACGATTTTTGTGACTTTATATACCTTTTTATTGTGCTCTATGGAAAAACAGGTTCTCCAATACTCCTTCAAGTTTCACCAGGTCCGATCTTGAAGAAGTAATTGAATCAACGAACGATCGGGATCAGAGCACGATCTTAAAGGTTATATGCTGGCATCATTTCTTCACTGTCGAAGGGGAGTGAGATTAGAGTTGTACTTTAGGTTTTCCTGCAACATCTGCATTTCATTTTACAAGAATAAGTTGATGATATGCACGTTCTTAACTTTTACGTCGCCAGAAGATGAAGACAAAAGCAGTAGAATTGATTGACTTTTGTACATGCTCGACATCTTTATCTTCAATTTGAATGTACCTATTTCAAGAGTACTGGCTTCCACAACAGAAATTCTACATCTTAGAACATTGACTAGTCTACGAAGATAAGAATTTTTTGCAATAAGTTTACTGTTCAATTATTTGTACTGGAAATGTTTAATCTAGAAATCATTAGCATGAGATTTATGAACCTTTATATTATGTCAAAGTATAGTAGACTACATAAATGTTGTTAATTTTGGTCTTGTCAACTATATTGAAGTAAAGATGATTACTTCGAGATCATTCATTTTCTTAATCTTTACTCTATAAACGAACACTACCGAGATTAATGTACTTCGATCTTTAGTGAAATTTTTACTCTTTTCCGTATATGTGTTCTAATGGTGAAATCAGATACATCATATATTCTCTTGGTTGCATTGTCAATTCGATTGCCGAAGTCCAAGTCTATCATAACTGTTGCCATGAAAGTTGGGACGAAAAGCCATTCTCGTCATGGAAAATCCAAGGAAAATAAGATAGTGAAGTTCAGTTTTCTCAACCAAATTCTCCTGATCCGAGTAGAAGACAAAAATCAGTTTGCTTTTTTCCCTCAAGAGCTGTTTTTCAAAAGCTGTAACAGAGGAGATAGATGAAAAGATTCACTATTGTCTTATCTTAAATAAAAACTTGGAATTGGTATTTGAAAAAAGAATAGTAGAGAATTCCCTTCAATTAGTGTGGGAAATACAGATCTTCAAAATTCTATCTTTCCCAGACTAATTGAAAGTGATTTCAGAAAGACGTTATAAAAGTTCGCACTAGTTGCAGATCTTGTGGATTCTAGCTTTGGTGTTTAAAAATCTAAACATATGTTTGAAAATTTAATGAAGGTTGAATATTTGAAACATTATGTTTTTTTGATTAATTTGAAGTCAAGTTTGGCTTATTGATGCATCTTATATTATTTTTTCATAAAACTTTTCAAAACTTTAAGAAAAAGGTAGTTAATATTGACAATGCTTTATAAGCTTTTTTTCACTTACAATGTTGTGGCTATAAAATACTTCATGAATTCTAACACGGTTATCATTATTTCCTATCTTCTCATTCATATCGATTTTTTTGTATTGCGTTTGATAGTCTTTGAGCATAAAATATTTTGTGTTCAAATATTAAAAAGTTTATTAATTATTATTTTAAAATTTTTTATATTCAGAAAATGCAGTTTAAATCTAGTCTTGCTCAATCAATCGTCTAATTATACATATTTTTAAAGAAATATTGGTGTTTGATTCATTACATATCTCAAACTTTCATTACAACTTGTATCAATGTTTGGAATTAAGTATAATTTACTTAACACTTTGATTTGATAACTTTGATTTAATTGATCAAAATGCTATAATAACAGTTATTTTATTTCGATTGTAAATTAACAACTGTAATGTAATGTAATTTGAAATGAAGAAAAAATTTTGAAAAGCCTACATTTTGTATTGAAAATGCATTTCCTTACATCAAAATTACACATTCAATATTAAATTATATTTTTTTCTGAAAGAAATGTAATCCAATATGTCAAATTTTCTAACGTGTTATACATATTACAATATTTCAATTGTACACTATATATTCTAAAAAATTGCAAGAAAGTGCTAAACTGTTCAACTATATTCAATATAGTTGAATATATAATATAATATATAATATATTTTTGAGACCAACTTACTAATTCTACTGCAAAATTTTGAAACAATATTTCAAATCGAGAATATTCATCTAAAATTAGTATCAAAAGAATTCAAAATCTCGTAATTAAAAATTTTTTATCATAAAAAGTTAATCAAAACTTTTATTGAAACTGTTTCTAAAATAAAACATGCAAAAAAGTTGTAATATTTTGACCCAATCAAAGATAATGATTTTTTTATCAATATTTTTTTTTTACATTTCAAAACATTTCAAGATAAAAATATTTTAAATGTACATTATATCAGATTAAAATTTATATCTCAAAACCCTAGATGGTAACAACACTAAATGGTTCCAAGACACTAGTTCAAAACTAAAAAACCGAGGTTTGTTGAATTTTTGAAGGGAATCTGGATACTAGAGCGATCCCGGATGGATACCTTGGCGTCACCATGGGTTGCAACATCCGTGATCTCCCGTATGATGGGGCGACCTGAGACACAGGTATCATGTTTTGCTCCCCTTCCTCGTATTCCGAAGTAGCAAAGAATACATATCCAGTCTCGTCCACGAACTGTCCCTGTTTTGGTGGCACATGAGGACATTCGTTCGGGTAGTGGCCAGCTTGTCCGCATCGAGTGCACCAGACATTGTTTCGGATCGTTGGAACGGGCCTTCTGTTCTTGTGGGTTTCAGCGAGTTGGACTTTGATGGCCATCCAACTGGATTGGATGTCCTTCATCATTCGCTTGTCATCTGGCACCTCCTCCTGAAGTCTGACTGCCGCCCGGTCGCGTTCTCCATGATGGCCTCTAGATCCGGAGGCTCTCCGAGGAGAGTGATCTTCCTCCGAATCTTCACTGGCGCCGGACCAACTATCGGTGCTACTTCCGGAGCTGGAGTCGCTGACCTCTCGCTTTCTCCGGATTTGCTTCTTTCCCTTGTAGACTTACTTCTTTGAGTGACTTCCGGATTGGCGTAGAGACTGTTTGGAATTCTCGTAATTTTGTGCAGCCTCCATCGCTTCCTGCAACGTCTGAGGTCGAGCTTGTCTGACTTGAAACCCTATTCGATCTGGGAATCCAGATACGTACCACTCGACTTGTACGCTTGGGGCAATGCCCGGAGTAAGTTTGCGAATGAGACTCCTCACCCTCTGCACGTACCTCCGGACAGATTCTCCTGGCTCCATCCTCATTTTGCTGAGTTTCCCCAGCGTTCTGGCTTCACCACCTACTTCTCGAAAAGTCCGGAGAAATGTCAATGTAAGCTGGTCCCAATCGTTTCGGACCGGTACCGCCACATCTAGGTACTATTGAAGGGCTTCTTTCTTTAGTAATCCCTGGAAGAGGCGGAGCTTCGTGGCGTCATCCTCCTGGTTTGCTGCAGCAATTGAGTTAAACTCGCATAGCCACTCGTCCACGTCCTCCCTTTCATCAC